GAGCATACACCTAGATACATTATCCCATTGAGGTCTTAGCACTCAATTGTCGCCCTGTCGTGATACTATTGGAGCTTGTGCAGCACATTGAGAAGCTCTTACCCGCTTCTACCTGGGAGATTGCACGGTCTACCCATCAACATGATCAATGCTGAAAATTTGCACAAAGCAAGTGTGCGAGTTTTGTTTGCTTAAATTCTTCTCTTTTACTTTCCTCATGCTTACAAATTTTTTTGATATGCGGCGCTCCTTTCAATTAAGACTTATAATGCTGAAAACGGGAGGTGAAAATATCAGAAAGTTCAGACTCATTTTCATTGCAAGTTTATAGAGCGAAAATTGATATGCAATCAGATGAGATTTCTAGGAATTTTTGGTAGGAGAATTTTTTATATTTCCGCCATTATCGTGCACCAATCTAATACTTTTTTCTTGAGGTTTTGACAAGAACTACCTTTTGCTCTTCTGAAAAACAGGATAAGGGAGCAAGTTTTTTTTGAGAAGAATTTTATCGGTTATGGAAGTTTAGCAATTTATTCGCACATTTATAAAGATGGCTTGAATGTCAAATGCATTGAGATGTTGAAGCAAAGTTCATTGGGATGTGATATACTTACGTTTGGAATGGCCATTTCTAGTAAGTGATGGAGGTGAATTCTGAATAGTGTTAGGTGAGATTTTCACTTTCTTCAAATGCGCACTGTGCAGTTCTCAGCACGAAAAACTGCAGCTTTTTTTATCATTTAGAAAGCCCTCTCTAAGATCGCGTTCATTTTTGACTTGTTATTTTTTCTTAGCGCAGAGCACAACTTTCAACAATGGAAAATTTTATTATATTCTTGAATTGCTTAAATCCTCTCAACTAAACATCACAGTACTCCGCTATAATATTCTTCTACTGTGTGCTTACTAAAAATCATGCACTCACCGCTCTCCATGAATGTCCATTCTTGTGTCTCTGAATTGACCAATGTCCTTCTTCCATTGCTTCACTGTTGGTCTCTTCAAAAAGGCGAGACTTGAACAACCTTTTCTAACCGGCTTATAAGCTTCAATAGCTTTCACTCAGTTTCATTAGGGACTATAGACGGCCAATCTGCCCTATGAGCTACACAATTCATTTTCTTGCTCAAATGCAAGCTTGTCTGAATGTTCAAGTTCTTATTCGTGACGATATCCCTACCAAAAAAAAAATCAAAAAATGTAGCCTTACAATCAACTGGAGCTGAACCTATAATTATCAAGTTTTTTCTCAAAATTCTTGAGCGGACCTATAACCACGAAGTTATCCGAAAAAATCGTGAGATGAGTTGCCATCAGCTATCGAATACACTTACTTTATATAAGCTGCTTTTTTACTTGAAAATTTAACTTTTGAGTTAAATTGTAATCGCATGAGGTTTCCTTAGCAAGTAAGGGGTGCTAATAGGCTTGACATTTCTTCCTCTGATGACATCCCCATATTACCATAGTTTGGTTGAAGCTGTGCTTGCTGTCCTTTCTCCAGAGGAAATTTGAACACTGCTTGAAAATAAGATTATACCTCTTGTAGTAAGTTATCCGGGAAATAATTTCTCATCGTGTTTTACCATGCAAATCTTGGGGGAGACGGTCAAAGAGGCGCGATCTCTCTGGCTGTCACCAACTTAAAACTCCAGTTTAGTGCTATGCGAGTCTTCAAAATTTACCAGATAAAGTGCATTAGCTTACTATCTTTCTGAGGCCACCACTTGCTGAGCTTCATGGTTTTTGCTATAAATCGAACTGAAATATTTACGAATTTGTTCTGGAATGCATTTTCAAGAGTTTTTGACCTTCAAAACTGCTCTTTTGAATTTTTTTAGAGTATCAAGATTGAACAAGTCATGCAACTATCTAATATATCTTCTTCTAAATTTCGTATACTTTAAGAAAGTTGCAGAACACTTATTATCTGTTATTTGGTGTCCAGCTGACAATAAAAATCGCGCCTCTTGACATACACCCCAAATCTTGGCAAGATGAGCACGGAAAAAGTAAATAGGATATCAATCGATAGACCAAAGCAAGCTCTAATGAAGCAACATTTGCGCCAAGTTTGATTTGCGTAAACTTTATAGCCAAATTTTTAAAAGCATTAAAATGCTAAAAAAGCGAAAAAATCATATTTTGTTTGAAAAAACCAGGATCCTAAATTGCTCACCCACGCACACTCTCTACATCAGGCAGTCGTATGCACAGTTTCGTGACTTCATGACTAAAAATCTAGAAACCGGAATTTGGCATACTTACCTCAAAGCAATCGAAGCTATTCCTAAACAGTGTTTGTTTAAAATAGACCTTTGGAAGCATAACCATGAGATTTCAGCCCTCTACAAAAGCTAGTTTTCGAGAAAAATCAAATTTATACCAAAAAACCCGGAAAACGCGATAAATCCGCACTTTAAGCTACTTTTGGTTCTCGTATTCCACCCATGAAAAATTTCCATAAAGTGCACACGTGAATGTTTTACGTAAAAAGTAATGTTTATGCAGTTTGGAGATCCGTAGGAATTTCATAAAGTGATATTCGATTTTGTCAAAATTCGTAAAGATATCAAGCATCAAAGTCTTTTGTTATTGGCTTCAAACATAACGTGGATCAAAGTTTGCCCAAATGTTCGGACACCATCTTGTTAAGTTTGCTTTGCTCTATCAAACTATACCCCAATCATCGTTCTTTGTGATCACTCTGCCGCTGTAGGAAGCAATGCGACATTATTTTCCGGAAAACCTAGCAAACAACAATGATATTTTTTGGATGCATGTAATCGAATAAAACAAATTTTTTTAGCGGCTAATAACTGCTCCATTGAAGCTATTAAAACAAAAATATTATGTGCAGCAAATGTCTTGCAGCTCACATTAAGGATAACACTCCATCTATTTGCAAGCAATTTGAAATGCGTATTTGGACAGTAGAACAGTAGAATCTATGACATTTGAAGTGTAAGAATGTCTCTTCATATGTCGAGTTGTTTTCACAAAACTATATCGCCGAGCCAACAAAGAAACAGCTCAAGTACTTCGCAATCGTCATGTCTATAGCTTTGAACCTCTACAATCTATACTTTCTCAGCAACAAAGTGTCGGACGGCCACGAATGTCGTGCTAAGACCAACTGCAAAAGTTTAGTGTGAGACATGAATTGATGGACCATATTATGCAAATTAGACTATTCACTCTCAATGAAAGCTCTTCCCAAATTGGACCTTCGCCTAAAAGAATTTTTCCAAGTTTTCTTGCTCACTTCCCTCACCTTCGACTCATTCATCGCCTTTTCCTTCCTAAGGGCATGTGTCAGTCATGGAACCTTGCACTAGAACAGTAACCGAAATAGCAGAAGAAGAACCTGTTTCTTTCAAAATTGCTTGCGCATGATCGTCAGGATAAACGAACTCTGCCTATAGACTTCAGGTGGAAACGTGAGCGAAAAACTAGTTTGGTCAGAAGCAGAAATGGTTTTCTTGTTCGTTGCTGTTTTATTCTTTGTCCACACTTTTCAGTGTTTTTATGCTTTGAGCTCGGCCAATCTATGACATTTTCGTTCGTTGTTTATGGAATACGTATGATGAGAGATTCAAATGTCATATCAGCAAGGAATACCACTGTTATTTCTGTTCATTTGAATATTTTTGGATGTATTCAATCCCTCAGGCAACATTTCAGATTAATATGCTCAGCGAGTATGCGAAAAATCTCTAGCTGGTGTGATGGAATTTTTGACCTTTTTACTCCACCTACTGTGAGAAATTTTCTCCAGCAAAGAAATGCGCGATTCGCTAACCTTCATGAAAAATTATGGCAGCAAAGGGAGCGATAAACAAGCGGCTAAGCCTCCCACACCACTCTCCTTAGCGCAGCGAATCATTCAAGACTTTATGGGTATCCGTGAGCCTATTCAAAACACGCCTACTGCCCATTTTCCCCTAACCATTCTTGCTTTTATTCCCCCCACTTGTTAGCAATTACCAGATTTACAACCATAGAGGCTCTGCAATAAACACAACATTTGAATGGAGCAGCCAAAGACTTCGTTGAATATTTAGCACTGCATTTCTATTTGTATGTTTCCGACTCATTGTTTTCTTCAGGCAGATCCGCGCATGTTACAATTCTAGCAAATTAGTATTTCGAAATAAATTTGCAGCTTCGTGGAAATACTAAATTTTTATTTTCGTTTCATGAGTAATGGTTCTGACAGGCTTTGTCGTGAGGAGCTGGTTTAGTAGTAGTTATCAGGGTATGGCAAAATGTCATTTAGGGTTTCGTTACTGAAAGAAACAAAAATTATCTTGGATAGCTAGGGTGATATGTAGAACACTAGATGTCGTTGTTATCCTCAATATTCAATCAAAGCCGTCTATCTTATTGTCAGTAAAATTAAATATTGGTTGATCTGTCTAATTTGCCTAATTTCTCACAAAATTCGCTGCTTATTGAAGTTTTTGGAGTCTTTCCTAGCATATGCCTTCCGTTCAGCCCCACCAATGGTCGTTTTCATTTCCTTATGAGATAGGTACATGAAGTCCAACTTTCGCGTCAGCCAGACCAGTCGATTCAAGTCTTTAGTGATCGTATACATCATTTTTGCTGTTATCGTGTGTATTTCTCACTGTCTGCAGTTCCACTTTTGTTGCCTCTCGATGGAAAAAACCTATTCTTAGCTGTATCTTGTACAACATCTTGATGCTTGGTAAAGGACAGGTCGTAGCTGCCGGACTCAGCGGAAAAAAATTTCATGAGCCACAAAAAAGCCAGCATATAAAGAAGACAACAGTTGGTACAACTGTCTATTAAGTGGGCGTGTACTTTGAAGTTCCTTAGGAAACTCTCAGCGGATTTGTTTCTCCAATTATCCAGATTATTTGCTGCACTATAAATGAATGTGTTCTTTCTACTATCGCCAGATGCTTTTATGCATTTCTAACCATCCCGAAATTCCTAAAATATCTTCGAAATGTTGAATTCATTCAGGTTCGATGTTATTACTAATATTACTTATATATTCCTACACATCGGACGGACACGAGAGGCCAAATCTCAAATTTCCGCACGACTCGAGAAGGCTACACGATGAACCTCTTCCAGAGCCACTGCCGTCACCATTTGGAAATAAGGTGTTTTTCTCTTCGTTTTGCGTCTTTTAGGCTCTACAATTTTTTTCAGGTGTACCTGAAAACCAAATTACTCGACAATTTGAATAACTTCTTCCCGAATACCGACGAAACTCTAGAAATCTTCGGACCCCGCGACAAGGTGCCATCGCCACCGGCCCCTGAGACGAACTCTGTAGTCGAACAACAAGTGCCCATTCCGCTGCCAGGAGAGAGTTTGTTCCCGCAATCTCCAGCACCTCGGCAAAATTCACTCGATCATAATCCTTTTCCTACACTCATACCAACCGAGTTACCTATATCAATGTCAGAACCTCCTCCAGAGCTGCCACCACTCCCACCGCCTCTACTGTCGCCAAAGAAGCGGTAAGGAACCGATAGTCCATCAGCTCTATCTAGTTGGAATTGGTGCCTGAGTACTGCTATCTCTCTGTTCCTTCCTCTCTTTGACACGCCTATATATTTACTTAATTAAGAAGAGTACCTCAAAATTCTGTCTAACCATACTCCAACCCTTCCTTTGCCCATTTTTTGCACAACCAGCGCAGTTCGTGACCAGATGCGGACCTGTCACATCCGCTGAACGGATCATGAACCTCGCGCGAAACCAATAGTGCCTAGTTCTCCCTTTTTCTTCAAATGCGAAACACCCGTAGGAGATTCAAGCAGCCAGAGATGTTTGTGAACCATCACACTGAAAATCAATAGTAATTATGGAATAAAAACAAGTTATTTACTGTTCGAGAGGATCTAAGGCAGAGCAGACGGCCCTGCACTAACTATTTGCTTATCGTTCACAAAGCTTAGTACATCCTAAGTCAAGAAACTTGCATTACTTCTCGGATGAGCAGAGTTTCACCCAAATGATTGAGACTTGAGCATTTCAGTCATGACTATAAAAATGCTGCTTTGCCTCGATTGTTAAGGAGGAAATCTCATCATTCTCGCATATCAATAGCGAAAAGCAAGAATTAGACTGCAGGGAAGTAATGGACTATTTCATAGACGCACTTTTCGATAGGTCAGTGGACTAAAGATATTAGGTAACCGAGCAAGTGCTTGTAGATTATTCAAACAAATGCAATGTAATACTGCTTTAGCTGATTGAAGTTTAGAGACAACCAAACTTGGAATGCTTTGAAATTCAAAGTAATATCCTGATATTCTTCGTTATAAAATCTTACAGGAGAAGGGTACTGGTTGATGGAGTTTCCACATGAAATGTATAATTTCTTATAGAGTATGGAACTGATTCCATACTGAACTGATTCCAAATCTACTTTCGTTACCGCACCGCTCTTTTGTGAGCGAAGTTGTGGGAGATTTTGAGGGTTTAGCTAAGTAAAGGTATTGGGGCTCTCTGCGCTTGAAAGCGGTAAAGACTAGCATAAGATTATTAGACTAAGGCCCGTATGCACGTACATCCCCGCGGGGAGGTGAGGGGATCTGAGAGGGGAAGCGTCATATTTCGCTACTCTGTATACCTTTCGTCTTCCTTCTTTATCTGTGATATGAAGGTTCTCATACCCTAATACCTGCGCATAATGGATGCCAGGAATGCTGTAAAGTTGTACTGAGGATATACTACGGCACTGCTAAGCATGTTTTTGACAGAAGATATGGAATCTGAAGATTATCAATTTTTCGATAATTCCTGGCTCGCGAGCAGCGGTTCATCGGAAATTTCAATATCCTGAGATTTCCCTTACTTCTACTATAGACATGTTTAGCAGTACCATATTATACTCTCAGCACAAATTTAGAACATTTTCATTGCATTTGTAGGAAAATAAATGACTTTGAAAATGAGAGGTGATCCCCTGGGGATCCCCAGGGGATCACACAAAGTTGTGAAAATCTAATCTTGTATGGCAGTGACCTGGCATCCATTATGCGCAGGTATTAGGGTATGAGAACCTTCATATCACAGATAAAGAAGGAAGACGAAAGATATACAGAGTAGCGAAATATGACGCTTCCCCTCTGAGATCCCCTCCCTCCCGGCGGGTATGTACGTGCATACGGGCCTAAAGGTACCAGCTGCACAAAGCACCTCGGCAGTAGTCATGGCCCATTTGAGCTCACGGATTACAGTTCTATGATTTTCATTGTAGTCGCGCATTCAAGTTTTGATTCAAAAAATTCGCATAAATCCCCTCCCAGAAGTGCCTCGTTATCGAAAATTCATATCTTCGACTAATGACTTCTCTGTTAGTGACACCTATAATGCATCAAAAGAACGACCGTATGGTCATGCTGATGCGACATTGACTGACAGATGGCTCAGGTACCAGCCATATTAGCCTTTTTCCGTTTCTCTATTACTTGCGTTGCTGTGATCTGAGCCTTCTGATACACTTTAATTATATTGATCTTCTGGATCCATCCTTTGAAGTTTTCAATGATTGTTTACACAACAAGAAGTTTAGCAGTTTGAGTGCATGTAGAGCGATGGCGCACCGAAATTTTCAAAAAATCAGTTTTGAATTTTTCAAACTCTACTAAGATTCTGCTGCACTCATGTTTTGAGATTTTTAATAAAAAAAATTTTTTTTGCTCTTAAGAAAAAGTTAGAGGAATCTAAAGACAGCATTTGTAGGAAGATTTACTCTATTCAATACTTTTTGCTGGAAGTTCAAAATAAAAAATTCTAAGTTAGTTCCCACCGAATAGAATGTCTGGTGTGAGGTTTTGGCATTAATTCGCAAGCATTAATAAGATCCAGGTTAGTCGTACAATCCTTGAAAATTGAAGAAAAAAGCTGCATCGAACGCATACTCAACGCTTTCATTCATTTTTACAAGTGTCGATTTTCATTTCCACATTCAAAACCTTCTAAGTGCTGACATAACGACTCTTCAATTTCATTAATGTACTCTACATAGTGACCGCGTGGCGAAGGTCTAGGGGATACTTATGCGCATTTGGAACAATTCACTTCCAATGAAGCGACTGCGGCTTCAAGAACGATTGAGGCAAAAATTCTGGTTTGCTTAAGACTCGAGAAACTGCTTTTTGAGGGTTTAGGCGCATGTAAGCTTATTTCGTGAGACCGTCACGGAGATCAACACAGGCTAGTCCAACCTTTATTGCGCTTTTACGACCTGGATCGCCTTATTGGGATGGTAGAACAAAAAGAATAATGATGTCCTTATGGCTTGAGAAAGTGTGGGAGACCCATAGAAACGGCTGCGACTTCTTGATTCGCTGAATTTGGTTAATTTAGTTTCTACTGTGTTCGATGTACTGATGACTTAACGAAAGTCACGAGTCTAGTCTTATTATTAGGTTGTCAAGAAAATAATGTCGTTTTTCATTTGCTTGCTTTGACAAAGCAACCGGACTCAACTCAACAAAGGCTAAGGGATACTATTCGGTAGAGCAAAGCAAGCTCTACAAGATGGCGTTCTTTTGCGCCAAACTCGATCCACGGAAAGTTCGAACTCAAAATCTGAGGATTTCCAAATGCCCAAAAAATCGAAAAAAATCAGATCTTCGTTCAAATAATTTCTACGGACCTCCCACTCGCACACGTCAATACTTCCGATATGTGATAACCATATGTACAGTTGCTGTATTTTTTCCTTGACTAGAAACTGAGAAAACGAAAATTTTCGCAATATTTTCAAAGCAATGCGGAGCCGTTCTTGCATATGTGATTATATACTACGAGTCTAGATGAGTATAACTCTAGATTTTCAGCCCACTTCGAGCAGTAGTTTTCGAGAAATATCGAAATCAGCTTTCTTCTCTTCAGTTTCAGTGCTAAAAGCGATATTTCTCGAAAACTACTGCTTGGAATGGGCTGAAAATCTACAGTTATTCTTACCTAGGCTTGTAGTATAGAATCACATATGCATGAACGGCTCAGCATTGCTTTGAAAATATTGCGAAAATTTTCGTTTTCTCAGTTTCTAGTCAAGGAAGAAATACAGCAACTGTACATATGGTTATCACATATCGGAAGTATTGACGTGTGCGAGTGGGAGGTCCGTAATTATTTGAACGAAGATCTGATTTTTTCCGATTTTTTGGGCATTTGGAAATCCTCAGATTTTGAGTTCGAACTTTCCGTGGATCGAGTTTGGCGCAAAATCACGAACGCCATCTTGTAGAGCTTGCTTTGCTCTACCGAATAGTACCCCTTAGCCTTTGGGTTGAGTCGTTGCTTTGTTAGATCAAGCAAATAAAAAACGACATTATTTTCTTGACAACCTAATATTATAACGCACGGCAAAAATCGAAATTCTTCGAAAATTTAAATCCATTTTGAATTCCGAGCATCAGGCATAATATTGGTAAGATCTATTTTCGCTTATGAGCTGAGCAGTTTCGGTCAAAGAAAATTTTCAGTTGTTCGCAGATTTCATGCCTCGGTCTAACAAGGGAAGGTTTGATGAGAGTGGCCATTCGTAATGAATTGTACATTGATAAATGCTCCTTTTGAAGCTGGTTTGAAAATTGGATAGAGATGAAGTTGTGATTTTATTAGGTCGTCCCGAAAGTTCTTGCGCACGATTTTCAAAAATTCATAACTTCTGATTTTTCCAACCGATTTGGCTGCTTTTATTTTTATATGAAAGAGCAGGTCATGGTCTTTATAATGACATCTTATCTGCTTACTAATAGTCGTCTACTGCATAGATAGGAGCGATAGAATAAAATTGGTCAAAATTTGAATTTTTCGTGTAGGGTCATAAAAAATCGGAGACTTGCAACAAAAATCGGAACAGTCGGTATTGTAGGTCATTTCACCAGCTCTTTCTAACAGTGCAAAGTTTGTGCCGATTGAGCGTTTTTATGAAAAGTTATGATTTCCCTGAAAAATGCCAAAATAAATCAAATTCGCCCTTTTCTATTGCTTGCTCGAAAATCGTAACTTTTCATAGAGACGCTCAATCGGCGCAAACTTTGCACTGTTAGAAAGAGCTAATGAAATAACCTACAATACCGACTGTTCCGATTTTTGTTGCAAGTCTCCGATTTTTTATGACCCTACACGAAAAATTCAAATTTTGACCAATTTTCTTCTATCGCTTCTATTCATGCAACAGATGATCATTAGCAAGCAGCTAATACGCCTTTATAAAGAACATGACTTGCTCTTTCATATAAAAATAAAAGCAGTCAAATCGGTTGGAAAAATCAGAAGTTATGAATTTTTGAAAATCGTGCGCAAGAACTTTCGGGACGACCTAATATTTTAGATTTAATTGCACTACTACGGTGGATCAAAAAATCGAAAAAGTTTTCCTTGATTTTTCAACCTCTAAATATGAGCTGGTTAGTCCAAATACAACAGTACTCTGTCTAAGATCTTCTTTAGCAGCATCAGACGGTAAACTAGACCAACACTAGTAATTTCAGTTACTCATCTTCTATTAGGAAAACACATTCACAACTTTTTTCTTAGAATTAGCATTTGGAGAAGTATCTTATGATTTGTCGCATCTTAAGTGGTACGATCACCAAGTGTCCTTTCCTTATAAGTAAAGGAAAAACTTGCTATCAGAAAAATTCTTACTGGAAACTACTAACTTCGGAAGCTTATGACTCTAGCTATAGAAAAAAACATTACCTAACAACCCCAAAAAAACTTCTGCAAAATTTCAAAAACCTTTGTTAAACCATACCTACGTGATTGAACGGCCAAAGGGAAGCTAAAAATTGATAAAGTCTATCTTATTCCTTTTTTTGTGAGGTGGTCGCTTACAACAGTGAAACTGTTTTACCGCTTGCAAATTTCTTCACGATAAAATGCGCCTTTCAGGGAAAATCGTGATATTGACATTTTTATAGATTTTCCTTGCTTTTTATTTGTAAAGATTCTTTAGTCTTCACAACTTAAAGACATTTTTCACAGATCGGAGGGACCAATCATTTCTATCAAAGTGCTTGACAGCATCAGAGACTGGAGAAAACGTCTTTATAAGGCCTTCAAATCGAAGAAGCCGAGAACGGTACCACCTCGAGCGATTGAGGCCCTGCCTTTGGAACTGAAAGGCTCAAGTTAGCTACCTGAATTTCCTTCTAAACGATTCCCATTTAATTGTTCTTTATAACTTGTGTGCAAGCTATTTTAGCAAATGATGTGGTAGATTTGACAGATGTCACTCATTTAATATTGGACAAAAATCGTCAAGTGTTGCTGAGCAGAAAAGAGGCAGAATGGCAAAAAAGCATGGCAAAGTCGACAAAGTTGGATCGAGATGCCAATGACAAGGCAAGTTGAACATAATTTTTCAACGTAGAACAGTTTGAACTCTGCTATCGTTGATTTTGATTCTTGTTAACTGATTCAGCTGGGTCGGCTCTTCGGCACGGAAACAAGCGGCTACAAGTCTTCACCACAAGGAGATAGTGTTCCCGAACGCTTATCCAGGTATTTCGTTCGTATTGTCCTCTTTTCATCTTTTAATTCTGTCACATATGCACTCGCAGAATTTACTTATTCACAGAGATTTTCATCCACTGTCGTCCAAACGGAAGGCTTATCGAACTCCTGGCGGTCGCAATGTCGTCTACATTCCAGCACCACCTCCGAGCCGGGAGCTACTTCCACCACCGGTAGATCAGCGTCCATCCAACATTATTTATCCAGTGACAGTGAGCATTGAGACTCACACCAATTTTCATAAGAATATTCACGTTTTTTAGCTCTTTATCATGGCGGTATTTTTCTAGAAGTTTCGACTGAATTTTTGTTCAGGCAACGGCTTCGCCTTCAACACTGCCTCCAATGATTTTCACCTTCCCACCTCTGCAAACCACTGCCCCACCATATAATCCTGGCAATAATTTTCTTGGTGGCAATTTTAACTTACAAACGCCACCACCTCCGCTACTTTCGCCACCTCTGCAAGTGCCAGTTGTAACTCCGTACGTCACTTCCGAAGATGCTAATATGGCTGGTGATTATGAAGATGATGGCCTGCAGACCCAACCACTCAGCCTCCCCAATATTGTAAGTTTATATATTTCTCCTCCTGGCATGTGATTTGGCATCAAAGTGGAGCTAACACAGAGAGGCGATTATAAAATAATCATTCATACTCTCTGGTTCTACTTGCTCTTTTTCCTACAGATCTTTTCTGCCAATGTGGAAAAGCTGGTTTTTTATAGCACATTCTCACGCCTTGACTCAAGAATGTTGACTGAAACGTTGCTTCCTGTAAGTAAGCTGATCCAGCAAAATATTTTTAAAAAATCGTAATCCTCTACGTTTACCAGGTTTATCGGGTTCAGTATCGCCTCATAAGAAATACATGGTCCTCCCAAAAAGTGTTGTGAGTGAAATACAAATTGGCATATCGTGAATATAGCTGAAAAGTATATACAGGCATTTTTTTCAAATTTTAATTACAAAAAATGCTAAAATGCCCAATGAAATTGAATTTTGCTTTGGATTGTGGTTTTAATACTTACTCTTGCGCTGAATTATATATTTTTATTTTCATTGTTTGTCCATGTGCTGTATTATGAATTTAGATATAGTCACAATTCTTGATTACTTTGATCGACTTCGACAAGTATTTGTAACTTTTATAGTAAAAACGAAGATTTGTGTTATACGAAACAAAATATATGCATAAAATAAATTAAACGTCTTTTATATAATACTCCTTCACTGTTTGGTGCAAATCTTAAGGATCACATTTATCAAGAAACTGATCAGATCTAATACTCCCTTTTGATTATAATCGCAGCAAGACTTTGCTGCACTTAGCTGGTATCGTAAAATTCTAATAACCGTTACTCTTTTCAATTTCCGACACACTAAATTAGCTACTTTCAAAATGTGGAAGAACACCTTACAATATCTCATAAACATCCAGCAAAAGTCTTCTGTTTCTCTTTTCACTTTATGAGGCAAAAGCCAACTGTTTGTTGTTTCTTCCAGCCTTGAGCAGTACACAGTATATAACATTTTACTAGGAGGCAGCCTACATGAACGATAGGTTGTGCCAGCCAATTGCGCTGTGTAGGTCAAATCTTTTTCAAATTCCATATTAACGCTATGATGACATCTAGGAACTTGGAAAAAACGCTGGAAGCTCTATATGCCCTAATTCTTACTGTTTGACACCATTTTCAATTCAGTTTAGAACATATAGCTTCAAAAAATAAGACTTTATGTGCGACATATTGACAACCGCTGGAGTACAGTATATATTGCCAGCTATCGTTCATCTTGGCATACACCCCATTTTACTTGTTCAAATAAATATCGATACCTAGCAAATAAAACTATTCGCGCTAGAAATGACAAAAAATGACTCCCAACTTATTGTTAGTAACTTAAAATTGCAAGATTGAGGCTGTCATTGATTAGCATGTTTGCAACTTTTTTTCTTCAACAATAAGTTGAGTCCCAGATGTCGCCACCAATGTTCCGTCATCCGTTCCTTCGCTTATATTGGCCATCAATTGATCAAAAAACAAATAACACTCTGCACTTTACAAAAATGCTTTTTGCCAAATGAGCACTTTTATTCAGTGTGCCGGTGAAATGATGTGCACAAACAGCCAAGCGGTAAGCGAAGACAAATGTAACAGTCTGCGTTTGCGGAACATCATTCAGAACGTAAGCAGCTTTTTGATCAGCAAATTCAAAAGAGATTTTCATCTATCAGAACATTGTTCCGAACGATGCAGAAGCTTCGAAGAGAGCAGTGCAGTCAGCAGCAGAGTCGGAAACAGGGCTGTTCTTTGACGCAGTTTGTGGCACAGGATTCTTTAGCTATATCGGTAATTTTTGTACTTTAACAAGATGACTAATTATAATATTAGGTTGGTGCAAAGTAATGCGGATTTTTCTAAGATTTCAGGACAATTTTTTTCCATCAAATTCTTTTTTGATAAAAATCTAGCATATTAGCAAGATGCTCTTCTCATGCATTATGCAGTGGCGTAAGTGACTTCTAGCCTCATTCGCTAAAGTATAGAGCTTAACATGACCGCACTCTAAACCAAAATTTCATTGCATTTACTTTTCTGGAATGATTTCAAGCACGAATAGAGGCATTGTCTCGAAAATTTAGCTACTGTATGTAAGGGTGGTCGTTCAGGCCATTCTGTGGCCCATAAATTTCGTGGAAGAAGGCATTTGCCAAAGTTTTGCTCCTTTATTAAGCGTAAGGGTGGGTCTCCTGTTGACACTTTTTGAGCAAATGTTCAGCCGTTCATACGCAGAAAGTGAAAAACCCTTTTTTGGGATTTTGAGCCCTGCCACAATGCTGAAAAAACGGACAATTTTGGATTTTGATTTTTCCTTTCCGCATTTCTTCGTTTGAGCCCTTTCCAACTTTTCTTTTACTACTGGCTTGCGGTTACAAGATAGGCTACCTATCATTCATACTACAAATTTTGAAGGGAGTTATGATCAGTTAAAAACGAGGTTTTAGAAAAAAAACTCTCTTCTGCCCTTTCGCGAAGAGAAGCGAAGGGAAAAAGATATAAGTCGCTGAAATGATTACGAAAAAAATTCAGTGTATGAGTATGAGTATATGTGGAAGTGCACTGCATTACGAAAGGTCCTCTGACGGCATACCTTCGATAGTCAAGAGACACAGGCTAGAAAGTGATAGTTGTTTGAGTTCTTGCCCCCTATAAAAAGTGAAGGTTGTTCCAGAAATAGACGAAAATTTAGAGATATAAATTAATTTAGAAAACTTAGAAAATTCATATAAAGCAGAGGTTAGCACATCACAAAATCTGAAACCTAAACTTGGTGGTCCTACGCAGAGTTTCGTCTCCAGGATTGCTGGTTAATTGGGTGGCAACAACAACAAAGTTCTTTTTCAGTCAAAAAAAGCGCTGTTGAGCTGTGGCGTTAGTTGAGAGACCGAAAGAAGAAGAACTTGTCAACAACTGAATTGAACATGTTAAACATGTCTGTAAAGTTGTGTTGCACATCGACGCCAATCTGATTTTTGATGCGTCCTTTGAATTTTCACCCCCGCATAGTCGTTTCGTATGCTGCGACGTTGTCTGGATTCTTCCGCTCATCATTCTGAGCAAGTATCGTCCAAGATGGAAAAAATTCGCTGCAAAAGCACAGAAAGAGAACAAGGTAAAGAAAAACGCACTTTTTTGTATTTTTTACAAAAAAAAACCGGCATAAGCAAAGAAGTAAGCTCGGCGACGTTGTCTACATCATAGACAGAAACAAGACCTATCGAATACACAAAAAACCGAGTGAAAAAAGTTAAACTGAGGAAAAAGAAGAGGTTTTCGAAAACGCCGTTTTTCGAGGATTTCTCGTTTAAATCCCAAAAAGAAGTTCCGCGACGTTGTCAGCGTGAAAATAGAGATCAAGAGCTTTAATATGATATATAGATCATCGAAATTGGGCTCCGAACAACGAAGAAAAGGGTACCAGAGCCAAATGCCCCGCGCCCCGCATTTGAGGTAGCGAGGTAGCGCGCAGCGCGCCAAGACGCAGACGAGCAGCGCAGACAGACCAGAGCCGACGGGACATTTGGCTCTGGTCGTAGATCTTCGCAGGGTCTCAACGAAACCCTGCAACATTATATATCGTTGTGATCCTCATAAGACGTTCAGGAGCACTGACAACGTCGCGGGTCTTGAAAATCACTCCATAACGAGATAGACCAGCATTCATATGGCGACTCTTTGCGCAAGATTTGAGCGCAGTTTTTCGTTTTTATCGAACTCTAGCGGCTTTAATGAACTTCCAACATTCAACCGTAGTTCAGAGAAAGGTTAACTGAGAGATTTTGCTCTAGTTTTTGATTGAATTTTCAAACAAAAACCTTTTTCTCAACAAAAAAGGCCATAAAATCGCAATCCTTCGGTTTTTTTGAGCTTCTTTTGAATGTCACTGCTATATTTGCCTCATTTAAATTCATCCCTATACGGTTTTGTCATTAGTTATGTCATAATTTCCGGGGCTTCGCCCCGGATGACTTCTGTACTTCTCCCCAGGTGAAGGTTGTGTTCTATCATGACGCTCAAAGTGAAGGTTACCAGAGTACATGGCTCTATGTATCGAAGGTATGTCTGACGGCCTTTGTGGTTATCAAAAAATTTAGATTTTTTAGTAAGTTATAGCACGTCAAAGTGGGAATCGCAAAACGCGTTACTCTGCACCAACCTAATACCTCCTAAAATCTGCGCGAATATTAATGATTCGTTTAGCCCATACCGACGAATTCTGTTTATCATCCCTGGGTGGAGTGAACTGCTACTTGTTTTCGCCAGTCTGCTCAGACACATCGTCACAGCCCTTCGCCAAATTGCGAAGAACCAGAAGAAAGATGTTTCTCAATAGAAACTAATCACTACTCTACTGCTTTACTTTCACGATACAATTTGTTTGTCAAATTTTGCACATTCCATTCACCTGACTAGTCTTTCTATGTAAGTAGTCATTAGGTGCATTAATTTTACTATCGGGTATTGTGGATAGCCACCACAATTTAGAAGAAGGTCTTGATTTTACAGCTGCAATAAATTATTTATTTATTACTTGCTTTTTTAAACATTAGCAAGTAGCTTCAATTTGAGATGAGAAAGAGAGATTTGAGAAGGGATGGATAAGCCACTTCCTCTATTCGCTGAGTTTTTCATAGAACGTAAGTTGTCATTTCCCCATCGCGTCATTAAATGTGGTGTGATTGTGAGCTACAAATCATTTTGCACTGAAATAGCAAAATTCCAGAAAAGTTTGCCACACGTTAAGTTACTCACATAATTTTCTCTCAATAAATCCTCACACTTGCTCTTGTACTCCTACAATTTTATTTTCAAGTTTTTCTTGAGCCTCTGCGTCAATTACTTCGCCGGAGACGTTACCATCCACAAGTGCACTCTCGGGCCTGTTCTAGACTATAATGTAAACGTAAGGGACGCTTTGACTAATTTATTACTTCTAGCTCGGGGAAATTCTACCCATATATTTTCTTATTGAATCTTGAAAACGTCAGGAAGTACTAAAAGTTAGGAATGCAACTGCGGATATTTCATTCTGCAACACCTGTCATCTAACAATAAGTGGAAGGTTTCATCATGTCTAGTATTATTCGAACGAGACCTATCTCCTTAACTGGTGAAATTATGAGAAATTGGAGATGTTTTTACTAAGATGTATTTTACTGCGACATTATTTTATTACAACTCCTTCAAGTCTACCTGCATTTTCAATAGTGTTTCGTGGCAAACAAAAATTAATTTTGAACAGATAATAATTATTTCAAAGAGTGATGAAATGGTAGCCAAACGGAAGTTAGTTGTTATCTTCTATAAACAACTAAGTATTGACACCTCGTGCTCAAGTTCAAATAATTTGTACTTGGAAATGAAAGAACCAAATGTCAAAAGAAGAAATCCAACAGCAGAGAAAATTCATATTAGTACTATCATTTTATCATTTGCTATCACTGTGATGTCCATCAATGTTTGTATTGCAACATCGCATCGAGTAATCGTTTTCGTTAACACTTGCAAAAATCGAAAACCAAATGATAAGGCATCATTTATCTAGCGCAAAACTGAAAATTAAAAGTAACAATTGTCTAGTGTCCTTCAAGAACAGCATAAAAGATTGGCGACGGCAATGGCAGGTCAGCCGTCCTGCCATGGGTTCACACACGTTCATTGGGACCATAACTACCCTTAGTGCCATCGCGGCGGTTGGCGCAATCATCGCTATAATCTATATTGTTAATGACCTCAATAGCTTCTATGATGATGCCATAGAGGATCTTATCGAGTTCAAGGTTAGTATTTGCTTCTCAAGCTGTTTTAGTTGTATTTTTCATGTATTTTTCATGTATATTAATTTAGGGGGTAGCAGATTCAGCGTGGAACAGAATGGTTCCTACACCCGAAGAACTGAGTCGCGAAAGAAGGTCCTTACGAATGAAGCGCTGCGGTTCCAGCGAAGAGGAAAAACAATCAAGCAAGTGCCCATCGGGCCCACCCGGACCACGTGGGCCAGATGGCCATTCTGGAGAGGATGGGATTCCAGGACAACCTGGAGTTCCAGGAGGAACCAAGTACCCTATAGGTCCCGATGGAAAAACCAACTGTATCAAATGCCCGGCGGGACCGCCTGGGCAACCAGGACCAGATGGACAATCAGGTCCTGCTGGACCCGATGGAAAGCCAGGATCACCTGGAAGCGGACCAGACACTAGCCCACCAGGGCCGCCAGGACCTCCTGGAGATGCTGGAAATGCAGGAGCGCCCGGAGAGCCAGGTACACCAGGACAACTTGGAGCATCTGCAAAAACAGGAAAGGGAAACCCAGGGCCACCTGGTCCAGCAGGAGCGCCCGGAGCTCCGGGACAGCCTGGAAAAAATGGAAGTCCCGGAAGCGACGGAAGTTCCGGAGGGCCTGGTCCCGCTGGTCCTCCAGGAAATCCTGGAGCACCCGGCAAAGATGGACAGACTGGACAGCCTGGAGGGGCTGGACTACCGGGCAATGACGCAACCTATTGTCCTTGTCCACAGAAAGCAGGACAGTATCCGTCGAATGGTGCTTCTGCAGGAGTTAATCAGTAAGTAAATCGTTCACTACCATTTGCAAGTAAAGTGAACATTGTGCTTTCAGAGCTGCTGGAAAAACTGGAAGTTACCACGGCTCTATGAGAACAGTGATAGGTTACCGAATTATTCGAAAAGTTGCTGTCTAAAAAATCAAGTTCCACCTTTTTTGTCATCACATAAATTCACTCAATAATATTCTCGATGATTTTGTTCCGATAACATCACCTCTAAATATTCTGAGGCAGACTAGTGAAAGGAAAACGAGAGCTTTCCCGAATCCGGCAATTTAGACCTGAAACGTGGCTCACACATCAAGTATAGTTAATGTGTTTGCAAACGGGCTTGATTCGCATCTCTCCAGAATTGGCGACTTTGGCTCCCATGTCGCTTCATACAGACACCTCCCGATCATAAAATTTTGAGGTGCAAAAGTAAACCAACTTCCTGTCCGGCTGATATCTGTCATAGTACTGAACATAAATGTCACTTTCCACGAAACAAACTTAGGGAAAACGCATTATACGACATACTTAAAACATCTATACATTATCAAAAGTAATAAATATTGGATTGCAATGCATTGAAAAGCGGATGGCCAACCTTGATCTTCCAGGCAAATGAGCACGTGAACAAAGTTGCCATCGATAGAGCCCCTCATGGTTTTATCCTTGCGTCTGTTATTTGCAAATATTGTCATTTACATACAGCAGTTTCAAATTCCAATAAGAGTGGGATAGCAGAAATATTTTTTTATTGACTATAAATACGTTTCATCAAGCCTAAGTGGCATTTGTGCATTTTGGTTGTTTTAGTCTGAAGCAGACCAACACTTTTTAAGACTATCTTAGTGATCATTAGCAGATGAGGACGAGCATGCCAGACATTTTCATTTGGTATTTCCAACTCCTAAGGAAGTAAAACATGACGAAATCTTTAATTCATTGATAGTTTGAATTAGCTTCCACACCGTAGAACAGCTACTTTAGAAATTCAAGAATAACTCAGCACTTGGCAAATGACACTACAGCAAAAGAAGTCCTCTACGCTTAGCGTTTCTTCAAACTTACATTTGATTATGTACATAATCAAAGGCTCCGACGAGAATTATTAAGCTTTATACGTAAATGAATCAAATGCTCGAACATGGGGAAAAGAGAAGCTGCAAATAGATCTTGCTTCTCCCTCTTCTTCACGTAGTTAGTTATTCGTCCTGTCATGCTGAAAAAATATGGAGTCGTATTGAGCAGTGAACTCGCAGAAAAGGCGATAGAGTGGAAGTGAAGATTTTGTGAAAAGCAGTGCAGTTAGATTGTTTTACCCCTAGACTTACGCATACTCGTAAAGGTAAGAGATCGACCATCAACTCCGGTGAAACAAATTGTTCAGGGAAGGGAGACCATGGAAACTGAAAAGGGCGAGACTTTGGACTAACAAGGGAAGAATACTTGGTCGAAGTGGCGTTTCCTCAAAGTATGTATAGAATTTTATAGAGCATGGAGCGCTGATTCCAGATCTGCCTTCTATCCGCAAAACGCTTCTGGGAGGGGAATTATAAGAATTTAAAGCGAAAATCAAGCATGCGGCTACAATGAAGTCATTCAAAACTATAGTTTGTGATCTTGAGCTTAAATAGGGTCATAATTACTGCCATGGCGCTTTATGCAGTTTAAACCTCGCAAGGCCTAGTAATTTATGCTAGTCATCACTGCTTTTAGAGGCAGCGTCCAGGCAAATCTGCACATATGGGGCTCACTTGGATCGTAATTTTGAGGCCTTAACTAAGCCGCTGCTCAAGCGGCATCAATTAGTGCTCTAACGGCTGAGTCTTTTGCCTCGAAACTGGACCTCGGGATGGTATTTCGCATGGATTCATGCTCAACCCATGGGTCCTCGCGCGAAATTGATGGGTTGCGTCATGCGCGGCCAATTTCGAGGCGAATATCTAGCCGTTAGTGCACTAACCTGAGCTGCCGGTTGGGCAGTGGCTTACTTAGGGCCCCAAAATTACTATTCACGTGAGAGCCCCATAGTCCAGATTTGCCTGGAAGCTGCCTTTAAACGCCGCAAAGACTTCAATACTCGTGATTACCTTGGCCGAACCCTTGAAATTTTACATTAGAAAATTCCCGTAACTTCGCTACCGAAGGTGCTTTGCAGATAGTGAAAGCAGATTGGGTATCACTGTTTCGAGCCTTATTAAATTATATACATTTCATATGGGAACCCACTTTGTCCAAGTGTCCTTCCCTTGTAAGCTCAGTCAAATGAGCCCTACGCAAGGCTCGTGAAAGGCTTAGAAGCAGTTAGCTCAAATTGGTTATTACTATACAATTTATGAGCTTACTAGAAGGTGTATTCGCTTAGACGCGGGACTTACGATTACAATATACACAATAGTCGCTATTGAAGTACGAGACCAGTTTCATGCCAAAACTATGTTTGAGTTGATGGTGATGATTTAATCAACAGAGATAAAATAACTGAAAATAAATATGGACATGCTCAAGATGCACAGAGCAAAAAATGTCAAGAATTATTTGAGGGTTCATTGCCCTTTGAATATCTCCGCACAATTGTCCTTGAATCCCTCACTACTCGAAAAATTTTCACAAACTCTCAAGAGTTCATCCTATGGAAAATCGTTCAATGCCGTGAAATGCTATACTCATAATATTTTCGAACACCGAGACACCATTTTCCTTTTTCGTCCTGGACATAATCAAAAAAGGATGTTCCATTTTGCATGACGTTTGTAATGTACACTCAAAAGCGGATCCTCACAATAGAGAAACCAGTGCTGTAATGCATGCATGCAAGTAACCTTACACTAAATAAACAATGCTTGTCTGTAAAGGGAGCATTGTTCTTGCTTGTTCACCCCAAAACTGGAAATTTGAGAATATTATTAAGCTTTTGCATATATTGTTCTTCAACAGCTACACAGTGATGTGACGCCCAAAACTAGTTACCTAGTGAAACGCACTCTTGAGTGCTAGGGAATTCTTTCTGCACGAAAAATTTGGCTGGTTCGGCACACTTGCTAGCTAGACACATTGACGATCATACAAATTTACAATTTACAGTTTCCCTGCGACAAAGGCCTTACTAGAACTATCCAACATGTTTTAGATAAAACTGCCATCTGCTATAGCTCTGAATGGCTGACAAAAAGATGGAGGTTATTTCTAGAACCTTCGAGATCCTTGAAGTGTCTCATTTCAACATTTTCTAGCCCATCCTTGACGCAGTGTTAAGCGCAGACAAACACATACAGTGCTGGCCATAACTATAGAGTCACCCTAAAAAATTGCTGTAATTTGCTCTACATTGGACGAAATTGTCTGGAAAACCACTACTCTGTGTGTCATATCGCTGACTAGAATGGCTCCCAATTTCATTGATTTTGGCCGAAAAAAAATTGAAAATTTTGAAAAGACCTGTTTCGAAGGCTGGTCACAGCTATGGAGCCACCTCCCATCTTCAATCAATACTACATTCTTTGATCCTAAAATTTTTGTACATAGACTGCATCAAAATGTAAGACATCTTCCACACCTGGCAACTGTCGCCTTAAAAAAGAAAGTTATACTGCATTTTTTTGCTTCAAAGTGCTTAAACATTTACATTGTTTGAAAAACTGCTTGCTCCTTCACCGAAATTTCAGGCACTTGTTCATCTCACAATCAGATGAATGTCCTAGGATTCGCTGAGTCTTTGCAATGAATATGGTGAAAAGCGCTTTGGCCAACATTGCGTAGACGCTGATATTGATAAACAAACTTTCTCCTTCACATTTGGGTAGACGAGCTTTTGAACCAAAGATGCCGAGTTCTGGTCCCCAAAAAGCTCTGTCATGTTCTCAATGCGTCGTCTGTACAACGATAGACTCGTACGCATAGCTTGCACATCATCGCAACCCTGAGAACTTTGGTTCCGCCTTGGACTCTTTTTCTTCAGAAATGGGTGGTAACTGAATTATAACCCACGCTAACCACTCGATCGGGCGAAATCACTCAGAACTTCGAACTTGTAGTACTTTCAACAGTTTCGTGAGATTTGACTTGATGAGGAGTGAAAAGGAGCAAAATCTGGAATCAGGCTGGATTTACGGCGCACCACTGAATTGCAGATGAAGGGTTGATTCCAATGTTGCAAATACGTCTTTGCAAAAATTCTGGCAACTATAGAATGAGCACGTCGCCATGTAAACGATGTCTCAACGCAACCAGAAGTCTTCGCGGGTCGGAAACTGAGTTTTGCGTCCCAAAAGTACGCTTACACCCAAATAAGATTGAGCTCCGTTTATTTATTTCAATATCAGCGTCTACGCAATGTTGGTCAAAGCGCTTTTCACCATAATCATTGCAAAGGCTCAGCGAATCCTAGGACATTCATCTGAGTTGAACAAATGCTTGAAATGTCGGTGAAGGAGCAAATTTTTGAAACAATGTAAATTTTTGCGCACTTTGAAGCAAAAAATGCAGTATAACTTTCTTTTCAAAAGGCGACAGCTTCCAGGTGTGAAAGATGCCTTACATTTTGATGCAGTCTATGTACAAAAAATTTTAGGTTCAAAGAATGTAGTATTGATTGAAAAAGGGAGGTGGCTCCATAGCCGTGACCAACCTTCGGAACAGGTTTTTTCAAAATTTCCAATTTTTTTCGGCCAAAATCAATGAAATTAGGAGCCGTTCTAGTCAGTGATATGACGTTGGCTTACACACAGAATAGTGGTTTTCCAAACAATTCCGTCCAAGAGAGGGCAAATTACAGCGATTGTTTAGGGTGACTCTATAGCTATGGCCAGCACTGTAGCTAGATTTTGTAGGAACTTCAAGGTTGCACGAGGTGCGTGACTAAAGCCACACACCTTCAATTGAAAAGAATTTTTGCCCCCCCCCCCCCGGACGGAAATGCTGCGAGTGCTACTGCTGTTTAGGTATATTACCTTCAAACTTCTAGCCATCATTGTTTTACAATTTTATCAAATCTTGAACTCACCGTGGTGACGATTCTCGTGTTTGCTATGCGAGGGGAGTTACTTGTCTTTGCACTGACAGAGGTTGGATCAGAGCCCCACGAAGTCTGCAAGAGGTTATGAGATCGGATTAGATTTGATTGTCCCACAGTTTTTGCAAGAACTCGTATTCTTTTTGTTTTGTGAAAAGCTTGAGAAACTATTTGATGAAAGTAAAGCAGCTCAACGAGGTGGCTTCCAAACATTTGCGCAAAGTGACATTGACTTGGAATGGAGCCACGATCTGAAAGTTTTGAATATCCAAAAGAACCACATCCTGAAAAATCTCGGATCCTTGCTCACTCTTTCCGTACACTCATCGACGCAGTTACTGTGTTTTCTCGTGGCCAGAAATTAGGCAAAGGAAAACTGGCATGGCATTGCTGGGCTCTTCCCTCCTGAATACTTCTAACCTGCAAGCCCTTGGAACTGCGCTGTTTTTTAGCCTAATAAAGCGCTAGTCTTGAGGGCAAACTTAGTACAAAAACCCAAAAAGGCGATAGTTACGTTTGATCTAATTTGATCACTCAGTTTTAGATGAAATTCAATATACATGCGAATTACTCAGATGGAGAGTATATGACTGAGTAAGTTAGTCCGTAGGGTTTTGGAAAAGGTTGAGTCTATCATCGTTTACGAGTGGAATTGCAAATTCCGGCTTCTGGCTTCACGCTTCATGCAGACCTAATTTTTGCGATGTTTGGGACCATCCCGTAAAGCTTGCTCTGCTCTATCGAATGTATTCCGAACTTTTTGATGAGTGTAATCCGCAGTACCGTAGACAACGGTTCTCAAACTTACAGAAAAAGAATTGGAGAAAGTGTTTGAGTCGGAGTTCGCGAAACCGCCACTCAAAGGACTGCCAAACGATTGTGAAGTACTATACGTTTTGCTGTATTCATGCTGTCCTGGTGCTGAGTATTCGTAGACGGCACCTCTTCCGACCCCACCAGGAAGTCTGAAAGCAAGGAATTACAGCACCAGAAAACCTCGAAAAATGTCAGTGAACGATGCAAGTCAAAAAGCTTCGCCTATGCAGTTTATGTATCTTCTTGTAGTATTAGCTTTTCCGACTGTTTTATAAATCATCTTAGGCCCACATGCGTTTATACTCGAAAATGCAAGAGGGCTACAATTGCTATCTATTGTGACTGCATCAAAATGAACCCTGCTTAGCCATGGTGATTACACATCTCACAATCAGAAATCAGAGTCCTGCAAATTAAGAGACCGGATTGAAAAAAAAATGACGACCTTTGCCAGGAGATGGTACTGTGAACACAGTGCTATGATATAAATTTGGTTTGAGGGCGTTTGATCCTGTGTTTTGACAAGTATGTAGATGAGAGAAATGCGCCTATAATATTAGGGTGTCCCATAATTTTTTGCCGTTTTTACCCTAAACATCAGCATTACTCGAGAACTGGGGGGGGGGGGGGGGGGGGAGGGGGGTACCTTCACTGTTTACAAATTCATAGTCGTAGTTCTTTATGTATAAGCTATATGATCACGTGCGTGGGAGGAGCTCAGGAAATCTAGGGGAGGAGTTTGCCATTTTACCCCATTCGTATTTTTTGTCATGGAAAAAATACGAAAACAGTACAGTTGAATGTGCGATATGTCAAGCATACGCTAGGGTAAATGAGAAATTTCTGAGACATTTTGGGACGAAGATACGATTTTTGAGGGAAAAGTTCTTCTTTTGTCCTCTCTTGTTGAAACCTCCGCATACTTGAAACTGTGTTATTTTGCTTTGCCAGCACGAGGTTTGAGTGAAGCTTTATTATCATCAGAGGCCTAACGTTTCGACTACTGTTACGTTCAGGAATGAAACGTTAGGTCACTGATGATAATAAAGCTTCACCCAAACCTCGGCTGGCAAAGCAAAACTAACACAGTTTCAGGAAAAGTTCGTTTTCGACTGCTATCAGATTTCAGCTCAAAAAGTCCGGTAAAATACGATTTGGCGGATTCTCCATAGCCTGAGAGCTTGCTTTGCCCTGTCGAACGATTACTCAAGCTACATCAATTGGAGGAAAAATACAAAGAGACGACAGTTTTGATAAAAACGGTAAAAAATTATGGGACACCCTGATATCACCGAAAATATTCAAAGGCACACATAGATTATTCATGTTTTTAGGTATCATTTTCCGATAAACTCAAGGCCATGGTAGTTATGATTGCAGACATTCATGGTGATAAGTAGGTAAGACATTAGTTCAAAAATACTCATATTGCGAAGAACAGATATCAGTAATTGGTAGCACCTTTCAGTCTCATTTTGTCCGCCTTATACTTTCTAGGAAGTACTAGGAGGATGTCTTTAACTAATTCGGGTTTTTTGAACGATTTTAATAATAATTACGCTATTACTGTAAATAATCAAGCCTTTGATGATTTGAAGCAAGGAACCAATAGCGCACTTTTGCATGTGCTCCCAAGGAAATCAAGTCCTTTGGGTCTGCATAGGTTTTCCGAACGGTGAAAGGAAAAAGAAAGAAAACTGACTCACCTATCGTTGAAAGTTTTGTAGTATGTCTTTCCCTTTCCGTCAGTGGTGGTCTGGAGCCGAGGAATTACTGGACGAACTGCTGTACTAGTGGGTAATGTCATCATAGGCATGGGGACGTAAACAGGCACCATCTGCGGTACCGCAAGCGGTACAGGCATAGGTATAGTCATGAACTGGCTCTCTGCAAGTCCAGCGAAGCAAAAGGACAGGATCACAACCAGCGGAATCATTTCTCAAGTGGTATTGTCGATATCGTCCCTCCCTCTCTTCTTATATAGGCGAAGGAGGGAATAAGTGCGCAGTATTTAACAAACGTCCCGGCTGTTGTGGCTGTGTGTGATTCAAAAAACAGGTTTTTTTTTCGAACACTAGTAACTTTACTTCGCTAAAAAGAAAAGCTTATCCAAACTTTGTTTGCGATAATAACTGACGTGTCTGCAGATGTCAGCAGTGGTTGCAATGATAAAAATTTCGCGATGTTCAGTACAAATTCAAAGCTTAAAAGAGTTTTGACACTTTGGTAACAGCTACGGGTTTCTGATCAGCACTTGTACCAGCATCACGGAGAGAATATCAAGTCTGTTTTGCATGGTTCAAAGGTTATGGTGAATTTCAAACTAACGCCACAATATTCGGTATCTTTTTTGCAGTCCCAATAAAACTTTGTAAGCCATTTTTGAAGAGTAACTTCAGAACACTTAAAGGCCTCGACTATATGGGATAATATAAGATTCCAAAACACGTGAATGATTTGAAAAGATTATTATTCCTATGTGATGGAATACAAAAATAACAGGAAATGATCAGTAAATCAAAGTCAAAAAACAAACACGGTAAATAAAAATAATAACGACAAACACGGTGCTAGAAAATAAGCCCAGATTCTACGAATGGGGAGATATTAGGTCGTACCGAAAGTTCTTGCGCACGATTTTCAAAAATTCGTAACTCTTTAAATTCTTGACGAATTTGTACGACCAAAACTTTGCTCAAGGGAGTAACTCATGATCTTTGCATCAGTGTCTGGGTTGTTCGTTAATGTGTACAAATGAAGGAGATAGAAGCTCAAAACCGAAATACTCAAAATTTGAATTTTTCGTGTAGGGTCATAAAAAATCGGAAACTTGCAACAAAAATCGGAGCAGTCAGAATTGTAGGCCCTTCCGCAAGCTCTTTCCAACAGTGCAAAACTTGCGCCGATTGAGCGTCTCTACGAAAATTTATGGTTTTCGCGCAAGCAATACAAAAGGGCGAATTTGATTTATTTTGGCATTCAGGGAAATCGTAACTTTTTATAGAGACGCTCAATCGGCGCAAACTTTGCACTGTTAGAAAGAGCTGGTGAAAGAACCTACAATACCGACTCCGATTTTTGTTGCAAGTTTCCGATTTTTTATGACCCTAAACGAAAAATTCAAATTTTGAGTGATTTCGGTTTTGAGCTTCTATCTCCTTCATTTGTACGCATTAACGAACAATTCAGGGACAAATGCAAAGAGGAGTTCCTCTCTTGAGTAAAATTTTGATCGTACAAATTCGTCAAGAATTTAAAGAGTTATGAATTTTTGAAAATCGTGCGCAAGAACTTTCGGTACGACCTAATAGCTAGGACTTGGGGGTGTTTCTAAGTTGGTGGCAGTTTGATAGAAAAACTAATTTTCTGACAAACTTATCCTTAACAAGACATCCGTAAGTGAATGAATGGTAAGAAACCGTATTTATCAAAGGAGTAACTAGTCCCATTTCTTCAAAAATCCAGCTTTTGTTTGAGTGTCTTCAAATCGAAGTTGTCTTGGAAAATATTAGACGCCAATTTTTTCCCAAAGAAAGACTAGACATGAGATGAGTCAATGACTTGTCTTCTTCAACAGCGGTATCAAGCTATCTTGATAGTGTCGTACTTCATCCTTAGCTACTGAACACTTCCATAGAACGGATCTTCGTGAAGCTTAAATATGAACCCCATAATCTCTTTGACGAGTTTTGAATAACTTCTGGCTTGCTTTCAAAAAGGGACTGTTTCTGATTTCCTTTGAAAGCCATTCGAAGAGTACGAACATTACTTCGCCAGCAGACACAAGGGAGATGGTAATTGTAATAACATCAATTCTGCCTCTTACCTCTTACCATCCTACGAATGTGGCGGATCGTGAAATTGTGCAGCTAATTTTTTTCATTTATCAATATGAATAAAAAATCTTGGAAATCTTCCTAAAATCAATCAGCTCAGTGCTATTATCCTTGGGCAAAGTCAAAGCCAAGCTCCTCTCCTCCCTAATACTTCTATCGTCCCTCTATGCACGTACCCGCTTCACTTTTCTCCAGGTTTCTCGACCGCCACCTTCGCTATGTGGCTGGCACTTGTAAGAGCTCATAGATCAGTTGTAGCAGATAAGAACAAAAACAATCACACAACAAAAGCATATGCTACGTTGTTTTACGATACCATATTCCTGATGTCTTTGAACGAGTAAAACCATTACTCTTTCATTTCGCAAAATAAGCCGAACATTGACAATGAGTACCACAGAGAAGAGCCACCGTTTCTAGCGCATGACTCAACCTGGGAAGTCAAGTTGCTTGCACTTGCCCTGTTTGTTTTGATTTGGATTCTATACAACTTGAGTAGTCGCAAAATAGCAGCAAGATTCCTCATGGTTTTTCTTGCGTTCCTTTTCTTGTTTTCTTGTCCTTTGAGCAAGCATTGTACTTCCAATCTGAACTAAGAATAATGACTGCGTCGGTTGAACTGACTCCCCACACATAATGAATTTGTGTGGTCAATAAACTTCAGCTTCAGACGCACAGCTTGTGGAATTATACCCCAAACTATTATCATCACGACATAAATGACGAGCTATGTGTTATGACAGGAAATTTCAAATCAAATTTTGTCCATCTCCATAAGATCTTGCATTGCGAACTGAATCATTTTCGCGATTATATGTAGCTAAAATCGTTCGAAGATTACACTCCAACGTGGAATGGAGAGTGTTATTTTGGTAATTGAGCAGTTCTAATTCCGTTGCCCATGTATGGTCAAGAAGGCGCGAAGATATTAAATCAGGCGAAAGTGTAAGTCCCCATTAGAACATTTCTAATGTCAACATAAAAGCTTTCCACTTAACACCTTCAAAAGCAGCTTTATCTAAAATTTATGCAATTCTATCTACAACAACAAGAAGGTCTAGCGGTAATGAAATGTAACAACTTTACAACGATATATACATAGCGTAAGAAAGATGCAAACGAGAAAAGTGATCATTCAACATGAGAATCTAAAGATACACATCAATGTGCGATTCGATAGGAGTTCTGCAGATAGGACAATGCGGCTGCGAATCTAACATGACAGCCTGAAGACATGTGTCACACAAGCATATATGATTACATGGCCTTAACAACACGGTCTTTTCCCTATAAAAACAAATGCAGCACTGAATTCTCTCGTTATTAGCCTTCTCAGACAGGGACATTCTCGTAGGGCTGGTACCCCGCTGACGGATGAAATTGTCAGCGCGACGACTAGTTCCAGGTGCCAACACCTCTACTACTTCTCTGATGGGCCTAGCTCTATCATCAACTTTTTCAGCGATGCCCAGCACAAATCTAATGGGATGAAGGAGGACCTGCATGAGCTTAGTGATGGCATGCACTTGTGGAAAAAACACACCAAAGACTGTGTACACAATGGATAAACAATAAGGTACAACTGTGTACAAGAAATAGCTAACAACTGACTGCCTGGTTATTTTCTTTATGATATAAGCACAAAGAGAAAAGAAGCCCAGCATAAGTCCTGCGAGGATGGGGAAATTTCTAGCAAATACTTCAGCTATCCTCAAAGGGAATGTCACTATGCTTATCAGCACCGTAACGATTTTAAAGAGTGAAACTATCAATGTTATGGGTACCGCCAGCACAGTTGGAGCGTTCTGGATGAGGTCCTCCAAAAGCTGAGAAAGATTCTGTGTAGTAGCCATCACTATTCGATACCGCAGATAAAAGCAACTGGCAGAAGGTAGCGTAGAGATCGACTATCTCGTATACGATGGTAGAAAATATGCAATAGTGACTGAAAAAAAAAGTTCTAGAAAAGAAGTTTGATACAGGACAAATGCGTTGATGCTTGATGAGATGAGGCAAGTTTCGTTGTTGGTAAATCAAAAATCCACGGTTTCATAAGCGAAAGAGACAGTACAAAGACACAGAAGGAGAGGACCAGCTTCCGAGGACAAGACAGGCAACATATAACGATGACACAATTTGTATATCACTACGCCTATTGTTCAAGAAGACATCATGCTAAAAATTTGTTTTCTAGCATTCTGCGGGATGCCTATGAGAAATTTCAAGAAGAGTATTATTTTACAAAGGTAGCTTAGCTTCTAGAACAAAAAGGCATAGAATTAACAAGCAAACCTTGTTCACGAGCCAAAAACACTTTAGCCTAATTGACTACAGTGCCTCAAACACATTTATGCTGATTACTTATCATGATAGCAGCCATATTAACTATGATGGGTATGATTGAGTCCCGGAATCAGGTTAACTTCATCACCATGAAATAATGATTCATGATATACCAGACCGATTGGCCTGTTTGAGCTTACAGTTTACAACATTTCGTTTTGGCATAAAGGAAAGGATGAGTGGCAGCAGTCATAAAAAAGTCCTTTTGACATATATTTCACCATTCTATGCAAAATTTGATGATCACAGACCAAGATAAGAAGCACAAAAATGATCAGATTTAGGGACCCACTTTACTCCGCCGAAAAAGCCCAAAAGCGCAAAGAGCCGGAACGCCCATGAAGCTTTGGTGGAATTCCAACATTATTTCGATGTGCAGAAGACAGAAAATGAAGCAAAATGAATCGGTTGCGAAATCAACACACGTGTCTTAGCGCCAAAACTTGCGGCAAGAGGGGGCGTTCCGGCTCTTTCTAAGTTTTTTGGGCTTATCTGGGCACTTTTCGGCTTTTTTAAGCTAAGTATGGTAGGCCCTTTAGCGCTCTCATGCATATGCTGATCTTGGCAGATTCTTTACCAAAAACAATATAAGCAATGAAGGGAAGTGGAAAGTAAGTTTGCTCACCTCTTCTGTTCCCGACTTCTTTTCAATGTTTCGGTGCCATCATTCATTGACACATGTGCGCTCTAAATGTCAATAGATTACCTCCATCAAAACAACGCAACTACACAAACTTTATGGGAAAAAGTGTAAAAAACAAATTATGCGTCAATTCATGAAAGTTCCGTACCCACATACAAAGTTCATTTTTGACGTCAATTCACGTGCACTTTGTGTAGCAGTCTTGCATCTCACGCTTGAACTGACGCAGAAGGAAATTCGTAACTAGATTTTCGTGTTTTATTCGAAATTCTGTTGCTGCTCATTGTAAGTCCCTCCTTCTTTCTTCAGATCTTGTCAAGAGATAGGTTTTGCTTGTTTCCTGTATATGGCAAGCTCCAGATCATTCTTTGCAGATGATTAAAATCATTTTTTCTTAGTAAATCATACAACGCTTTCTTTTTTGCATTCTCCCTGATTTCATGGAGACGAAACTATATTTATAGGTACTTTTGATTGAAACATCATTTTCTCGTCAGTGTGGACATCATACTTTTATGTTGTATTGTTCGATAATGTTTCATTTAGTTTTTGCACGTAGTAAGAAAAACTGAAACACGTCGTTTCATGTACAGATCAGTATTTGTTCACACTCCTCTTCCTCGTACAATCTATGCCAGAATTATTGCGCGAGACAGCATTTATGTGCTAAAAGCTGTGCAGCTAAAAGTCGTCAAACTACAAAATCCCTCCTTTTGAGGCCACTACCATGTAGTTGTATGGATGCTCAGTCTCACTGCCTCACAATAGGCTCTGAACATGACGAGGGTCAAAATTCATCAAAGTACCCAAACGGCATTCTATAGATTTTGCTACCAGTTTGAGCAAGAATACTATATTAAGCCAAAGCACCTTGTTAGCTGATTTCTGAAGACTCGCAAAACACCGGAACTGGTACTTGGCAGCCGGAGTAGCTGACCTCTCTCGTGCATTTGATACAAGAGTTTATTGGCTGAACGGGTAGGGAGTTAGGAGGTGCACAGGCCAGGCTTCACATGAGGTTGATTACCTTTGGTTCCTACGCATGACCTCATCTGCGTCGCCGTAAAGCTGTCGGGGCATCTGACTTCCTTCACCAGTCACGTTGTCGTAGTAGCTAAAGGCTAAAGTTGGGCATTTGTTAATCCGTGTACAGGAAAGGAAGTGCGCATCACTTTGCAGCCGATACTCAAAACATCACCACAAGTCTCAAATTGGACCCGACGATATATCAAAGCTGCGGTTTAGGGCTAAACTGACCACGGCTGGCAGACGCTAGCCAAGATACCTTTTGTTTTGTGTTTCTCTAGTGTATACGGTCGACGTCATTGATCTCGAGACCACTCTGCTGTTTCAGCTGCTTTAGTTTTACTCTGTATTCCTCCGCAAATTTTTTTTTGTGGAAGACTGTTGTCCTTTTGAATGAAAGACTTGATATTTTGTTTGCAGGTGTCATGGTGACAGTGCTGAAAGAAATTCCAACTCTTTTTGAGAAGTGTGGGTGCTGCTTTGATGACTGAAACGATCAGAATGTCTTCATTAGAGTTTACAGTTGGTGTCGCCCGCGGAATTCTTGGGAAGATCTCGCTTTGGCGAGGAGACATAACAAAGCTCGAAGTCGATGCAATCGTCAATGCAGCTAATTCTGGACTTGCTGGAGGTAACAGTTGATCTTTGGTCTTTCATGCATATTTTGTTCACTTATTACCAATACATAATTTTATCAACTAGTTTCATTTCCAAGTTTCGTTGGTGTTAAGCTTTTTGTGCTTTCCTAGTCGGTTCCAGAGTTACTGTTTTTGTATTGGTTAGGCTCGTAGGTCAAAAGCTCTTTGCTGCCACTTTCGAAAGTAAGAACCATCTTATTGTTGACAATTTGTTTGAGTTGATTCTGAAAGAACGAACGGCTGTCAAGGATCAAAATAGCTGTGCACTTATTCGCTTTTCCAGCGAGGATTATCCCTTGAAACAGTTCACGATTTTGGCTTCCACTGGGATCCTTTCATGTTAGAAAAGCCTCACAGAATAAAAATGCTATATTTTACAACAAAGTTTATCATAATCTTATAAAATGGGGTGTATGCCAAGATGAACGATAGCTGGAAATAAGCATACTGTACTTGTGCGGTTGTCAATATGCCGCGCCTAAAGTCTTATTTTTTGAAGCAATATGTTCTTCACTGGGTTGAAAATGATGTCCAACCGTAAGAATAAGGCGGTACCGAGCTCCCAGCGTTTTTTCCAAAATTTTTGAATATCATCAGAACGTAAATATAGAATCTAGAGAATCTTTGACCTACGCAACGCACATGGTTGGCACAATCTATCGTTCATGTTGGCTGCCCCCCTATAAAATGTCCTTATATCACATGTCCAGCCTTCCAAGGTTTTCATCCCCGTCCACTGAACTACCTGAGTTAATTATCTGGACATGTACAGCGCTGCATTGTAGTTGCCGCCGAAGATAATAAATGATATTTAGGCGGTGGTGTTGATGGTGCCATTCATAGAGCCGCTGGAGTTAAGGAACTACAAAAGGAATGCCGAGCAATTGGTCATTGTGACACTGGAGCAGCTGTAATTACCAGCGCGTGTAATCTAAAGCATGTCAAGAGTAAATTTCCAAAAACTTTGAAGTCTTATGTTCATGTTTCATTTATCTTCGCAGTTAAGATATCATACATACCGTCGGTCCGATTTGTCATGGTGCCACTGCGAGTGACGAAGAGCGCAAGAAACTTATGTCGTGCTATCATTCGTGTCTCGACTTAGCAGTGAAGAACAGCCTCAAAACCATCGTGGGTCCAACTTTTCTACCATTGTTTGCAATCATATCGTGTTCATAAACATATGTCCGTCGTTCTTGGACCTTATTTGTGTTCCTCCCTATGTTATGTAGATTCCATGTTCGTGCATTCACATCTGTAAAAATTTCATTTGGCTATTGAAAGTCCGGTCTGCATTCTCGCTGCTTCATTCTAGCTTACTCTCTCGATATACGCGTATCTGTGCGCGTCTAAAAATGCTTATTCTTTCACATTTTTACGTGCATCTTTTGCGAAATCTAACGATTCTAGCACAATTACGTCCAAATTATTTGTTGAATGCAGTCATATTGGACATGCGCTCAATAATATTCAAAAAACATCATATATGGCGATATATATGACGTGCCGCTATGCACATTCGTACTTCCCCACTAGGTATTAGTAAACAGTATGTTTTTTGACTTGTAAAAATTCACTGATTTGAAGTGTATTTCAACATGTCTCGATCTCACATAGGTATCTCTAGGCATTCTGCTGCATCTCAACTGGAGTGTACGGTTATCCGCAGGATGATGCAGCGAAAACAGTGGTGGGACTTCTGACTAATTGGCTAGGAAAACCAGAAAATTCGGACCACGTGAGTTCCACTTTCATAGTTGGTAGCGGCCATCTCATTACAGTTTGTAAATGCTTCAGATCAACCGTATAGTCCTTGTGCTCTTCAATCCTGTTGATGTCGATTTTTACGAGAAGTTTTTCGACGATTATGCGAAAACGCAGAAATAGACGAAGGTTACTAATTTGATTTTAGCCGATATTGGTGCACGCTTGTTTTTATTGAAGATTTGCCCAGTCATCATTTGTGATATGTTGTTGTACTCATTGTGATAAAGTTTGATATAACCGAGTGTTTGATCTCTACTATCTGTAATTGCAGTGCATATATACTTGAACGTTCGACTGTTTGAGGTCACTTTGTTTTTACTTGGACCTATTCCAGTGTTGAATTCCATGACTAAACTTCGTACCTCTTTTACTACCATTCGTCCATCTTTTTTCCGCGATGAATCCTTTGCTCCTCTGCTCAATTTGTTTTTATTCAAATTATTTTCGCAAGTAATTGCTGTTGAAGGTTCTGGCCATGGCGGCCAAATTGGCGTTCAATCCCTATGAGGTACTTGGACTAGAACGAGGCTGCAGTGACAAGGATGTACAAAAAGCGTATAAGCAGCAGTGTTTGCGATGGCATCCGGATAAGAATTTGGATAACAAGGAAGAAGGTATGAGTAATTCTAAGTTCATGTCTCATCTCCCAGCGGAAACCTCTTTGTCAAAAACCTGTCGTTCTGTTTCAGCCGAAAGAAGGTTCATTGCGGCAAAAGAAGCATTCCAGTTCTTGTTTGATAAAAGTAAAAGAGTAAGTAGCTTTTATGGTTTTCTGAATTTCAATCGTTTTTGCATCGTATTCAGTTAATTTCTAGGGGGAGTATGACCGCGACTACGAGAAAGTCAAGCATCGTGAAGCGGCATATAAAGCTCGTATGGAGAAAGCGGATGGTGCTAGGAGAAAGTAAGCTGTCCTGTCTACATATCTTTTGCACCGCTGAAAGTCTCCATTTCAGATTTATAAATGAGCTTCAACAAAGGGAGAAGGAGTTTGCTGAACGATCCAGGACTGCAGAGCATTTAACTCCTGCGCAAGCACATCAAAGGCGGAAAGAAGAGGTCCGCATATAGTTATAGTATTATAGTCTTTGTCTCTGTTGTTAGTTATACTTCGCGTTTGACAAACGAAGTGGAAATTTAGGAAAAGAAAATACGGGTCGAATTTGAGGCTTTGCGAAGAAAACTAGAGCAAGAAGCAGCTGATGAGTTGCACGCGCAGCAAGAAAGGCTTGCTCGACTTGTGAAGGGACAGGAAGAAGAGAAGAAAAGACAAGAAGCCGAAGGTGGGCCTCTTTTCTTAGTGAGCTTATGACTTTGGTTTTGGTAACATTTTTTGTTGCATCATAATCTGGCTGAAGTTCCGTCATTGTAGACAAGCATTCCACTTCTCATTGTTACAATGGAAAGAATGCTTCTAAAAGATTCGAGCCGTAATTGTTTTTCTATCGTAGTGAGACAACTTGATTAATTCATGTGTTTGCTGCGACGTTTTTGCAAAAGACACAAAGGAGCCTACGGGGCAGTGGTAGCATTGATGAGACATGAAAAAGCTCGTGTCGAGCAAGGTCCAAAATTGAAAGGTATAGGTTACCTTGAATTTCAGCTACGTCGAAAATACGAGAACGGCGTTGCTGATTTCGCAGCGAAGTAAGAAATGAAATCAGAAGATTTTTTTGCCTTCAATCGTCTATGATAATTATGAAAATCCTGGCTAGTCGTTGTGAGCAAAATAGAGCCAAATAACGCATTAGCAAAAGACCTGATTCAATAATCACCTTTCAACAGCTCTTCCTGATTGGGACAAAAAACATTCTTTAAGGCCTGCTAAACACTTCACTAATAATTTGTTAGACCGCATGAGATTTTTTCAGACAAGCACCCCACTTTGCAATTAAAATGGAAACCAACTGGTGACACTGATTACGACGAGACGGAATTGAGGAAGATTTTTGAAAAGGTTGCTAAATTCACAATTTTTATATTAGCACTAGGTCGTTTAGTGGTTTAACTGTCTACTTTAGTACGGTAACATCGTGACAATAACGCCGATACGCACAACTAAGAAGGGTGGACGATTGTGCATGATTGAATTTGATACTGATCTGACCGAACTGGGTGCAGAATTGGAACAAGGCAGCAATGGTCTTGAGATATCAGGTTTGTAGAAGTTTCCCCTTTTTTCTGTAATAGTCTCTCCTTTTTTTTCTCAAGTTCTTGTGGCGACTGACAGTGTGTCGCTTGGTCGCGTTTCAGTGTTCCCTCAACTTCCCGTCCACATCATTTTCATTTGCTTGTTGCGTTCTTGTTTTTTGCATAATGGGCCAGCCATTTTAGGAGTTTTATTGCCTAGAGAACCTAACGTGCTTCATATGACTCATTCAAATTTTTTTTTGAGGAATTGCTGTTTCTTTATTTCTAGTAAAATGGCATGCGAGAAGTGCTACATCAAGAACTGTTTTTCGTGGAATGTGTTGTAATATAGCTTAAAAGCACTCTGTACCAAACTGCACGTCACTTCGAGCAATCCCGTGCTGGGCCGTATAGTTCTTTCACATCTCGTAATTGTCTTGTATGTTAGACATAAAATGCTTCTCGCTAAGCCCTCTGCGCGCGTGGTACTGTTAGGCTTCAAGATGGATTATAAGAATTTGTTTTTCTAGCCTGTTTATGAGAGAACTTCATAAACCGTGCTAAATTTTTCAGATCCTTTCGAATTAGTGAAGAATCGGATAGTGAAGAATATGGAAAGATCTAACAGGCTCAATAGACATCATTCTGGCAAAGTTACGATTTTTAGGTTCTTGGATAATCCCGCCCCAACCACCAAGTGAGGATGCGAAGAAGACTGACGTTGATGACAAACGTTCAAGTAGGTCTTATCTCCATAAGCCGATCATTTTTTTGTTTCTTGATAGATTTATGCCCATTTTTTAGACATAGCATCGATGAGCTACGAGGAATTACAAGCTCAGTTGTTCGCCGACTTAGAACCACCACCCGAGAAGAAGAAAAAATGGCACGAGGAGGAACAATGATTTATTGTGATGAATGCGGGGTCATACGGAGCTTTCTTATGTCTATATAATTCTCGAGAATGAACTTCCACTCTCGTACAGCGTATCTATACTGTCTGTTGTGAAATGGATGAATATATTCATCGAAGCACATAACGTTCAACAACGAAGATTTATTGACAACCTTACATTTCAGCCCATATATTAAACAGAATAACACACATTCAGTAAGCACGCTAACTAGATTGTTACGAGATCATTTGGGAACAAGATTATGGTGTATGGGTGCGTGCATGGCTCTGAAAAGAATTTTTACAGTGTCAAAGGTGTAATTCAGAGTTCCTAGAGAAGACGGGGGAATTCTTTGGACTAGGTCACACTACCGTAAAAGCAAACTTCTCGGCCCGAAAGCGCTATGATATTGTCATAAAGTTTCGCAGATTAGTCCCCTTCCTAACAAGTTTTTCTGCATTTCGGACGGTGCTATGTCCTCTAGCTGTTTTTAACCTTCAGAAGCACTGGTGCATAAATTATCACGTTTATTGTGTTCTGGGATTTTGTGAGCTGAAACTAGTGAAGTAAAGATGCCAGTAACACCTTTGAAATTGTGATTTTGCATGAGTCTTTGCGATTTCCCTTCGTAAACAATTCATGAGCAATTCTACACGAATAATGACTATAGAAAGATGAATCATATAATCTTTGAGAATGCAGACTAATTTTCACAGAAGCTATAATTTCAAAAATGTGCAAACCTTGTTTAGAGCGTTCTTTTGCCTCGAAGTCCTTTGAGATTCATGTACGGCATTCGTTTGCCACGCAGCCCTCGCAGACCTTTGAATGTCAATCCTCCGTCGAAGATATCAGGATCGTACCTCTTCGGGTAGTCGTAACCCAGGGGCAAGTACGGATAAGGCTGTAATGACGAGAATTTTTGTTGTTCACGTGCGCTGTGAATTATGTACAGATGGAACTGAGGATGGATTGTTCCCTCTGCAGTCATCTACAATGTTTCGTCATCTGCAGCCTTCGACATCTCACGAAGCATCATTTGCCTCCATAGTCCAGTGTCACTCAGGAATGATCCCCCTCCCCCCGCGCAAATATCGGGCTGACGAACAATGCTCTAATCAGTGCAAATGATGTCACTATAGGAGTATCTGGCTTACGAGCGGGTGGAATGGAAGTCTGTCATTACTAGGGGAGACAGGCATTTTTTATAGTGACTCAGTAGAATGAAAAAAAGTAGCTTTTTTTCCAGAAATCTGTTTATCACAACCCTCAATACATTCTTGCTATCATCTTTATGAAGGTTTATTAACGGCTCAGTAGTGGGTCGGATTACTTGCTTTGCACTTTCTCCAATCTTCTTATAACAGAGGACATTGCCTTGGATGATTTTAGGGCTTTTACTGAAAAGGTCACTCGAAGCCCGAAACCTATCATTTACGTTGTTAAGCATCAGCTATTTATCATCGGGCACTACCTTCCTCGAAAAGACATATGCACTTAGCGTTGCGATATCCTGCACTATTTTTTTTTGTTATTGGATTCAAACGTATTGGAGCAAATTTCTGAGCTATAAATTCGACAAGATTTTTGAGCCAGCGACACGGTTTCGTTCAATTCAAGAGGTTTAAAGAGCGTGGAAGAGGCAGTAGGAAGTTTGGAAGTGTTTTGCGCGGATAATGGATCTGATTGTGAGAAGGTAACAGTTCACGCAAATAATCGACGCAGTTTCTGAATTTGTAAAAGAAACAGTCATGTAGAAGAATTTGCCTAGCTCAATTGAGCTAACGAAACGTTGGAGAGGCTTTCGAAAAATTTTTCGAGAGCTATCTAGCTTAGCTCTCACCTTTCACCCTTGAAGAGCTCTCTCGCCACTGCCCCCTCTCAGTGTAAAAGAAAATGGAAGTTTTTCTTCCAATCCCTATGCAATCATTTTGACTATTTCTTGTTTTATGCTAACATGTGTTCATTGCATTGAGACATCCACTGTCATAAGCAATCCATCAAAGCTTCATCACAAATTCTAATCAGGGGAACATGAAGTGAGACCGCCGCATTTTTTCTCAAAATTTGGTTGTGCGTATTTGCAAACCTTCGGAACATGAGTGTTATTGGCTTGTTTGTAAGGGTTGTGAATATGGCAGTTGGCAAAAGATCTCCTAGCGGTTAATGAGAAGTTGAGAAAGTGTTACTTTTGAAACTGGATCGCTCTTTCACTTTGGTCCTGAAACTTCAAATAGAACATACGAGAGGCAGTTGACCTTCCTGAACAAAAAGGACTTGTCGAAGAATCTCATGGACATATTGAGGAAGGCAATCATACAATAATTGGTAATGGAGTTTTAGAGAGATTTTGTGATTTAAATTTCGCTCTTGATTTTGTATGGTAGAGTTTGCTATTCTCAACCATGTGACTGGACGCAAAGGTTAAACCATCTTATTTATTAGAGAGCGAAGGAAAGAGCGGCAGGGCCTCAAAATTTTGCTTCATGCAGCCCAATGATATTTTTCATAAGAGAAAATTTGAAACCTTCAGCAAAAATAAACGCCCAACTATAAGTTTTCTAAATCACGTTCAACTGCTCCCCTATTTCTTCTACTTCCTCTCCTCTTCGGTCCGCGGCCTGCGAAATTTTGATTTTTTTTTGCACAACAGTGTGATCTTTGGTACATAATGTGCTAGATTTGTCGGAAAGGAGATATCGCACTCATAAGTTGATTGTTCGTTCCATTGTTATATGGGTGAATCGAAAAAACTCATCAAATATTCGGATCTTCAGTTAGGTATGCACAGATATGGAGATTACACAATTTGATCATGATGTGAGATGCTACCCTATCCAACCTCTGTATCTCTAGTATTCTGTCGTAGACGTAATATATCGAAAGATGCCATAGAATAAGCAGGGCTGCAAACTGTCCAGTAAGAAAATGAGGTTTTCTGTTATGAAGTAAATCGGGGCTTCTATAGTCTCGCATAAACAGTCAAAACTGAGGATAAAATGACGAGTTGTTTGTAGTCAAGCAAATCATCATAAATCTGCCCATGATGGAAATGAAAGTGACCGCTCCATATATACATTTGATCCTAAAATCCTATGCCGTCACCAAAAAATGCGAACATGCAGGCTTATTCAATCAAAGTGACATTTCTATAGCGACATAGGAGCAGTTCATAGAGAAAGCTTTTTGATCCTGATGAAGTTTTTTGCACATGTTACATAAGTGCGGGAAGAGCAATTAGTTTTGAATTTTGAGGTAAACATTATTCGTGCATTTGTGAATTTGATAAGAGACAAAGATCTCAACTTGTTTTCGCATAACATCAACCGTTTTTCCAAACTCTGGAACTGTCTGGTACATAAAAAACTACACTTGCAAAATACTTCTTATACAAAGTAGTTTGGAAATAATTATATATCAGATCATTCCAAAAGTTCGGTTTTCTTCAAGGGGTGCCACATTTGACGGAATAAAGATTTTTAAGAGTTCTTGGTAGCATTCGATGCAGCATTTCATCTCATTGCAGCACAGTCAATGAGCTCTCGGAAAATTACCAGCATCTGCGACCCATGCTTTTTGAGTATTTGAGGTAACACTATCACAATTTTTTCCGACTTTCATATCAACCCTCCAAACGAGACAAACTAAGGAAGCGTCTTTAGTCGAAGTGGCCTTTCCACATGGCATATCACTTTGTAGGGCATAGATCGGTGATTCCGAATCTGTCTTCCATATCTGCCAAGGGCCGTTGAAAGTCGAGTTATGGGTTTTTACGTCGAAAAACTGAATGCACAACTGGGACAAAGTCTTCAAAGACTGCTCAAATGGTCAGGTCTTGATTATCAGACTTCATTCAATGAATACCTTCTGTCTAGTACCCTCATACTCAACAGTGCTCTATTTGAAGTTTTAACTACTGTTTTTACCTAGATTCTGCATTCATTTTTTGCTCCAAAAAACACTCTTATCTCGGCGCCTAGGTGCGCTTGGCAGATAGTAAACACAGAGAATCAGCGTTCAGTGCTCTTCAAGTGGTATAGGAATTGGAAAGGCCACTTCGACTAAAGACGCTCCCTTGTAAGTAAGAAGTTGATAGGGCAAAATTTTCAGGAAACGATACAACTTTTTTCTCTTTCCCATAGCTCACTATAATTTTTGAAAAACTTTTTGCTAAAATTACAGGATTTTGGCAGCCCCACTTCAGCCACATTCCCATCGAACACCAATAATTCTTCGGAATTTGAAACATGATAAGTATGGAATGGCAAAATTTCGTAGCCGTCTTAGTCCCCATTACGCAGGTATAGCTCATACATCTTCTTATATATAAAGCTGAATGTCTGTATGTCTGTCTGTCTGTATGTACATATGTTCCGAATAGAAAATTTCATTTCTGAATCGATCGGGACCAAACTTTGCACACATACACTTCGGGCCCCGGCGGGTGTCATGGCTACTTTTCGTCATCGATCGATATCGATTTTATTGATTTTTTGCAAAGTTTGAGCTACAGGGCTGGGAGTTGGCACAGGGGGGTGATCGAGCATGCTGATTACAAACATATTACTGACAGGTCCGGGCGGAGCCGGGTTTGCCAACTAATTTCAAACATAGAAATTTGATTGCTCATGGCCGATTCCCTAAGAAATGAAAGTCGTAAAATGAATGCAAGATGAAAATCTTGGAACGTCCTCTTGATTTGTTCTAATGGACTAAATGGGCTACAAATAAATTTCCGACCCTGCAGATGATTGATTCGTGACGGTGCTCAGGCATTCCGCAGCATTGAGGTACCGAATCTTTTTCCAACTTTGGTGTTTTGTTGAAGACGACATTGTTAGTTTAGTAGAAAGAATGAATGAGCGCTAATTAGGGAAGATGAAAGGCAGCCTTACTTAGTAGGGTATAGCCGGTCAATATTTACGCATATTTGTTCAAGTTGGTTTGCTTTAGACTGTTAATTATTATCTGCAAAACTCTTGAAGTGGATATGCAGGAGACCTGTATAGATAATCGAAATGAGGGGCAGTTTCTACATGAGATCATAATGTTGTGAACCAATGTTCCCCTTTTTTTCTTTCGAACGCATTGGAACTGCCAGAAACCTTGGAGAAGAACGAAACTGTTAGGCTTTGCATGACCATAGCTTTTATTTCAAGAACCTATATTTGTCCAAACCTTTTTTCAGTGAAGATAAACAAATGCTGAAATCGACATCCCGTATTTTTCGTTTGAATGTATCAACTAGTTTTTCATCGTATAAGCTTTGAAACTGTTAACTTAAGTTATGATTTTAATCATAATATGGAAGGGGTGCCACTAATCAATGATACTACCAAATAGGCATGGTCTTCTCTATAATTTTTTTGAAGGAATGATGGTTAATAAGATTCTAATGGTGTATTATGATGATTACTTTCTTGAGTAACTTCGTGGGCGCTCATGAAAAATAATGTAAATGAGGTTTAGCGATGTTGACGAAAAGACCTACTGAAACTATTTGTTTGAGTTGCAGTTACTCGCCGTTTTCAAAAAATTGGAGAACGGGGAATATGGGGGTAACTATTTGAAGCAGCATGTAAATGAAAACAAAAACTAGAATTTTTTTTTGCAAATCTTATCTATAGTTATAGAACCAAATACCTTACGAAAAGTTCAAACAATTTCCTACGGTGATTACATATTTTGAATCCTACGGTGATTTTATATTTTGAACGAGTTTACTGACCAAGAAAAGAAACTGTAGTTATGCTACTTCCAACCCTTTCTATGGTTCACTGGGGAGCATTTAGGGCACAAAAGTCTTGCTTGGTTTTTTCCCTACGTAACTACCAGAGTTTTAAGGACTTGTAATGAGTGCCTCAAGTTCATTAGTCCTTAACTTTGGCGGAATATATATTGCTTAGAAACCATGAGACATCTTCTTCAACATTTGTCTGTTGTGAAAAAAGAGGGAAAGTCTAAATGAGCTAACCGACTCATGTATATAAATTGCTACAGTCAGGAAATAATGTTTCGGGGTATGGAGGTGACCGAATTTGGGCGGCAATTTGGCCATTGACATGAAATAGATTTGTTAACTATATTGGTACTAATTTATTAGGTTTTTCCGAAAGTTCGTTCGCACCATTTTCAAAAAATCATAACTTTCTCCGTCACAATTATTTTGCGCAATTCAATTTTATTAGAAAGCGTAAAGCATGTAGTTTCTAAAAGTAACCTGGAGACTTTCCAACATGCTCAGGTTGCAGTGAAAGAAATGAAAGAACGAGATCATCCGAAATTCGAAATTTTTAAGCAAGAATTCAAAAAACTAGAAACTGTGCGATAAAATCCAGAACAGCAATCATCCTAAGTTTTTTTATATTTTATTACTAACTGAGTCAATTGTGCTAATCGAGCTCTTCTTTCAAAGGTTATGATTTTTTGAAAAAAATACCGAAAAATCAATTTCTTAAGAATTCTTAGAAAATTGATTTTTCGGCATTTCTTTTCAAAAAATCATAACTTTCGAAAAAGACATTCAGCCCAAACTTAACTCATGTATTAATAAAATACAAGAAAACTTAGGATGACAGCTGTTCTGGATTTTATCGCATAGTTTCTAGATTTTTAGAATTTTTGCTTAAAAATTCCGGTTTTCTGATGATCTCGTTCTTTCATTTTTATCACTGCAACCTGAGCATGTTGGAAAGTCTCCAGGATACTTTTAGAAACTACATGCTTCGCTTTCTAAAAAAATTTGAGCTGTGCAAAATCATTGTGAGGGAAGGAAGTTATGATTTTTTGAAAGTGGTGCGAACGAACTTTCGGACCAACCTAATATTTTTCTCGCTGATAAAACTTTATACTCAGCTGATACAAAATGGTTGATGCTTATTATACTCCTCAAAAAAGTCTAGGCTCTGCAATAGCTACCAAAATCTCATAGATCCTAGACAAACGTCGTAAGACACAATTTCAGCCAACCCAACAATTACAAAGCCTAGATTTTTGCAGTAAGGCTGCGACTATTATAGAGAAATTAGCGTTTTTCAAAATTATTACAATATTTTTAAGATTTTCTACCATTGTACCGTTCTTTTATATGTCGGCCAACCATTATATCATTCAAGAATGCTGTAGCCGCATAAAAGAAAATCAGTCTCTCTGCTTAGATTCTATCTGAACCACTCCTCCCTCCCCCCTTCCCCCCGCCCCCTGCCCTATTCGGCATATTTCTATTTATGGTACGGCAACTACGGGCAAAACCTCGAGAGATCTACCGTTTCCCACCAAAATTTCACGTCTAGCTCCACCTATCGGATTTCTGTATATGGTAAAAGACTAACCTCTTCGTACTGTTGCTGTGCGAGGACACCGAGCATGGCCAGAAGGAGCAGGGCAAGCAGTCGTGTGAGGCTCTGCATAGTTATATAATGTATGGGGCTGAATGGTGGCGATGGCCGATAGTCGCCGCGCCGGAATTCGCCACGCCCATCTCGTTTGACTGGATTCAGTGGCTTCGCGCAAGCACTCTCGCGAAGAACCAAAGATGTTCGGAGGATTGGGGTGGAAAAGAGGACATCTCGGATGGTTTCGACCATCTTTTTGACCTTGAGAACTATTTTAGACCACTAGTTTGGGTTAGCAGTCCTGCTTCCAGTACATAACAGACGTTAAATGAACTCGTTTTTCTGGAAACCACGGCGGAAGCATAGGAGTGGACGGAAAAATGGGAGGAATAGTCGCTTTGTCAATATGGTTCTTAAGACTAATTTATGCCTGTAAGCTGTTATTACTTATAAGAATAGAAAGATTTGCTTTTATTTAAAAAAACTAGAAGATTATTCAAGCTTTCATCAATAGAAATGCTCTATAAACATTTTGTTCACAAAAAATTAATCTGTTATCATTGAATTACAGTATCCTTATCTTTTGGAAATTTGGAGAGTGTTTTGAACATTTATGAACGTTGTTTATAAGATTTTTCGTTTCACAAGCGAAAGTTTTGAGAAGCTAAGAAAGTAAAGTAAGATATCCAGCGCATACTCTAAAATCAGTGCCGTCATTCTCCCACTTACTGTTGATAAAATTGTTCACAGAGGTATGTATTTCACAAATAATTCGGTCCCGATGCTAAATAAATTTTTGAAATTTATCGACAAGATAGCCGCACAGTGAATCCCTCACAGTTAGAGACTCTTCAATGTACAGTACACATTCAAAGCAAAATGTTACGACTATAAAATGGCTTTTACATTCTCGACCATTTTAAGTGCAGGCTGCCCACTTTGCAGCCTTTCATTTCGTGAACGTTATGAAACTTGAAAAAAGCTCGAAATTGTTTGGACACAGACAATAGATGTGAAACAAGACAAGGCAGTGTGCTTACCCAAAACAGGAGAGTGGAAACATATTTTAGATCAACCTTACACCTTATAGTTGGGCCAATCAGAGTTTTGAGTGAATGACATTAGTTGACGCTTCCGTTAGTTTCCGAATAATAAATCATCTAGATCATTTTCTTCACAGACTCTGAGTATATCAGATCGGCTCAAAGTCTTCAACTGCTCTTTTGGAAATTTGTAGTTACGTGCAGCCTTGGCGGATTTTCTCCTGTTAACTTTGTCATAAGTATGAAGCAATGGCGGTCCCATGTGCTTTCCGTTCAGGGAGGGAGGGGAGGAGGAGGGGGGGGGGGGGGGAGGAGGAGAGACAAGGGAGGAATCTCTTAAAGAAGGTGCATGGATTTAGCCATCGCTGTGAAAGATTTTTTTGAGGTGCTTCAAACTATTTTACGTGCACGTAACACCAAAATTCTAATATAAGGGGAAGAAGCCCCGAAAATTTCTATATTAGGTTGGAAAGAAAAGAATGGCGCTTTTTCCGGTTTGTTAGCTAAAATTGGTATTACTCAGGAACTACAGCATGTCAAAACCCAAATTTCATGATTGATGTCTCGAAGGTTTGTAGTAACGCGTTGTAGCGCCGGAAGTGCCGCATAGCGATAGTTCGCCTGTACTTCAACCAATCCGCATTCTAGTTTGAATATTTGGAATCAGCGCCTTCTGATCTATCTAAAAGTGCTTTTAAAAATTTCAAAATCCTGTGCAAGATTTTTTTTGGGCCTTCGGCGATATAAACGCATCGTCGCGTTGGTATCGCCGCTTCGGCATAACTTTTTTCAACTTGAATCTATTGAATTCTAGTTTGAATATTTGGAATCAGCGTTCCCTAATCTACCCAAATAACCTTTTAAAAATTTTGAAATCTTGATTTCAAATTTTTTTGGCTCCATGCCGGAGGCGAACTAAACGCTTCGTCGCGCTGAATGTGCCGCATTACTGTAACTCGGTTCAAAGTTCTTCGACAAGAATTTTGATTTGATATTTGAAACCGGTATCTTTTTGTCTACTCATAAGTCAATCCAAACTTGATAATTTCATTTGCTTTGGTATTTTTTTTACATTATCGACGGATAATGACTGCGATATAAACGCCATGAAGCACCGAAAAAGCGGGATTGCTGTAGCTTTCTTTTTCTTCTGCATATCAAATTTCTATACGAATATTCGGAACCAGCGAAGTCTGAGCTATCCAATCATATAACTAAAGCTGAAAAAATCAAAAAAAAAATCTTCACTCTGTGCTCTAGATTTTGGTTGGTCCCACGTATCTTCATATTTAGCCAGGCTGGCTCAGGCCTTGGCTGCAGTGACCTCACCGTATTGATTTATTATCATAGTCACATCAATCTGTTGGTAGGATGTGAAAGTGGAATTGATACCTTCATCCATACACTTCGGAGAAATTAGGAACTGTGGAATTTGTTTTTAAATTTTTAAAATTTTCATAGTACTTATCCGATTTTAAAAAATCATCTGTTTGAGACATTATTTGCCATACTTTGAAACTCGTCCATGATAATTGGAGTTTAAAATTTTGAATCTTGGAAATTTTCATAAAACGTCTCCGATTCTATAATTCGCCTGGCTTCAGTTTTATTTTTGAAATTTAAAAAATGGAACATCATTCTTAATACCAAAAAGAATGCAGTAGTGTGTATTCATGAAAAATAGACAAAACAATATTTATAAAACAACTATACACAACCGAAATGTATTTACAAATATGTTTACAAACCTGGTGTTCACAAAACAGCATAATTACAAGATCGCAAAACACATCCAAACAACAAAACAACAATTCCTATTTACAGAAATAATACAAGGAGATCTTTACAAAATATATTTATAAAACGCAGAAAAATCTTCACAAAAAGTATATTTACAAAACACAGAAAAATTAGATGTTTACAATATGTACATTAAAATAGTTCTGCTTCGTTGTTTGATTTCGATGTTTCATACTCACTTAATTATTCCTCATCAAAATCAAACACCGAAGCAGAGGTCGAGGCATGCACTAGATGAGGCAGCTGGTGCGTCTGCCTCGAACAAAGTCATCAGCCTTCTAGACGGCGTTGTTTCCAACGCCGCTGTAGCTGAACGCAGCCTTCGCACTCGTGAATTCAAAGCTGCTTGGAGCCGAAGCGACGATACCAACGCGAAGATGCGTTTATATCGCCGAAGGCCCCGAAAAAAAAATCTTTACGCACAGAATTTTGAAATTAAAATCACTTTTAGATAGACCAGAAGGCGCTGATTTCAAATATTCAAACTAGAATGCGATTGGTTGAAGTACAGTCGAACTATCGCGGTGCGGCACTTTCGGCGCGAAACGTGTTTAAATCGTAGGATTTCAAGGCGGCAGTGTGGGTACTGTAATAACTGTATGTATGGGCGAGCACAGGACCAAGAGGGGCGGAGTTTGCCATTCTTAATTTTTTTTTATTTCTATCGCAAAAAAAATATGGCAAGGGCACATATGGATAAGTGCATGTGTTTGCTACATGCTGGAGCAAGTGAGAGATTCGCGGGATTTTTTGGTGCGAAAATCCGATTTTTGGCACTTTAAGTTGCTATTATGTTTTGGTCTTGAACTTTGGGTAAACAACGACTTAAGCCAATGTTCGGAAGCCATCTTGTAGAGCTTGCATTGCGCTATCGATTGATATCCTTCGAATACTTTTTCCAATTGGTCCTTTTGCTCTGCTGTAAAAAAACGCATTCTTTTCTCCGACCTAACACAAGGCTAATTTGAAGTTCAAAAAAAATTGTAAGTTATTTTGATTACTTACAAGTGTAAAGAAGTCACTTGAACATTTTTACAACTCTTGTAAATAACTTAAAAAATTTTGCGACCCACTTTCGGGAAGGTGGGTGGATAGCCCCTGACTCTCCCCTCGCTACGCCACTGGCATGTATGAGATCATGAGCGTGTGGCAGTATTTAAGCTCTCTTTATCTTTATCTTTATCTTTATTGATACGCCTTATAACTAACACGTGAGGTAAACATCCAAAAAAGATGAACCTGAAGCACGAGTATCTGCTGAAGGAAAATATAAAGTAGAGAACATCAAACAAAAACAAAAAACATATAGAAAAGCTAAAAAACAAAAAACAAACAGAGGAAATAGGGGATGAAACAGCAGAAAAACGGAACATAAACAATGACAACAAGTATGCAGAAACAAAATCCCAATCAGGAATGAGGACGACTGGCAAAAGAACAGCATTTTGTCAAAGTTTGACAGAGAGCACCTTGACCAAGTAATCTATTTGAATCCGCCAATACTCTGAAGGTAAAGAATCTCGCACGAAGGAGAGTCTTGGCTGAGGGAACTCTCAATTTAAGCGAACATCCTCTAGTTCTGGAGGAAGAAATAAAAATTTCGAGAAATCAATCTTACAGCCACCGTCTAGTATTCTTGAACTTTATAAGGTGAAATACCATTGTACCAAATTCAACGATAGGGCGGACATACACCTTGTGTGCTTTAATTAAGACTCCAGGGCTTGAGGTTCGCAGTGTCTTGAAAAGGTTATAAGTTCGGAAAAGTGCTTTAAAAACAATGCTGTTGTAGTGGGCGGTAAACTGAAGTTTAATGGAGAAGGTGAAGCCCAAACCTTTTACTTCCTGGATACGGGTCAAATCATACCCACTGATAGTATAGGAAGATTTGACTTTTTCAACTCCCAAGGACATAACTTTGGTTTTCAGTGGAGCTAGGGGTAACTCATAGTTCTCAGACAACTGACACACCATGTCAATACATGACTGTAAAGCTTCAACGTCGGGTGTGCTATGGATGACCTTGTAGATTTTTATATCATCCGCATACATGACACAGCCAACACCCCTGCTTTCAATTTCGGGTAAGTCAAAAGTGTAAATGAGAAACAAGAGGGGGGAAAAGGCTCCACCCTGAGGCACTCCACTGGAAATGGAGTGAATTTCGGTGTAATCATCACAAACCCGAAGTTGGAAAGTACGATTGATCAAAAAATTCTCAATCCGTTTGCACGTCAAACCCTGAACTTCAACCATCCTGAGCTTAGACAACAGTTTGAAA